CTGAAAATGTCCCGCGGCGCAGTCGTCGTTGTCGCGCGCACCGACGGGAATTCCGCGCCCGGGTCCGGTCCCGGCGTCGGTCCGCGTCTTCGGCACACGCGTACCGAAACGCGCTCGGCGACGTTCGCGCGCGGCACGTTACGATTAACGACGGCGCGGATGGCAACGCGGGCCGCGGCGGCGTGGTGAATGGGACGGGCGCGCGCGCGGGTTAATCGCAAAATGGCCACACCGCGCACGCACGCACGCACGCACGCGCAACAACGGTAATGACGTCGCGTTTGTTTTGGCGTTCGCGCCGCGTCGCATCGTTTCTCGTACGCCGGCGTTGTCCACGGGCGCGCGCGAGACCGGCGGCCGGTCGCCGACGGATAGAGGGACGTTCGCGCAGCACTTCCGTCCGTTCCGGGACGTTCCGCGACGGAAAGAAAGAGAAGACGGGGTGGGAAAAAAATAAAAAATCGACGAGCGCTTTTTACGCGTGCCGGGACGCGGACGGGACGTGGTTGTTGAATCGCGCGTCGAAAAACGAATCATGACGGACATCCGTGACCGCGCGGGCGGTTCGCCGTTATTATGCACGAGGACGTCCGCGGCCCAACGGAAAACCAAGAATAAAACGATACGTCGGTTAGGTGGTAGGCCGGCGGCGGCGCCCGTGGATCGCGGCGACGGTTATCGGCGGTTCCGTAGCGACGTCCCGCGCGAGGATTAAACTGAATTTTAAAACGCCGGAATTCGAAAACCCCCCGCATACGTACGACGCGCGTGCGCACCGGTCGCGCCTTTTTAGTAAGCTCGTGCGACGCCGCGCATAAATAACTGTCACGTTCGATCCGCGTCAGCGGTACGGCGCGTGACGACAGTAGTAAATGCGGATTCTGTCGCCGTGTGTAGATTCCAACACCGCGCAACAGTCCGTTTTTCGAACGCGCCGTCTTTCGATCTTTGGTGCCGGGAATGAAGGGCTCAAGTCAGTTATCGGCAATTTTTTTTTTTTTTTTTTTGTAATAATATTGTCTTTTGTAACTGTTTTCCCTCCGATTTAGATTCTGCGCGGTAAGAGGTAATTTTTCGATTTTTCTAGGGGTGATCATAATAAATGGAAAAAAACGGGAAAATTTATGAAATGTATTATTTTCAAATCGTAAATACTACGGCCTTTGAAAATACGTGTAACGTGAACTTTGCTCAGAATCGCTTTTCGTTAGTTGTGATCGATCTTTGCGTACAAATATAAATACAATTTTCCAGCTATACCTTCTCAACTTCTCACCTACGACAGTGGTCTACCAACCGTGCGAAGTATGTCCGTTTGTTTTTTAATGTATAATATTCTCTAATATTTAATAATTTTTTTTAAATTACTCGTAGGGTGGATTAGCTGTTAATTAGTAACCCCGATAAAACTGACAGTTGTAGTATAGATTTTCGTAATATTCGAAAATTTTCTTATAAAAACCTAATATCGAATGCCTCAAAGCGAAAAATAGAATTTTTTCCGTTAAAAATTGGTAATTAATTTCGTTATCACTTTCGGCCGAAATTAAAAATCAATGTTAAAATAAGAATTACGAATTTTCTTTTTACATTGACGGTTTCGTCTTGACCAGTCAAGGCTGATGGGATAACGGCGGCTTATAATGTGCGTAATACATATTTGTTTTCATATTTATAAATCCAACAGAGTATAACATTTCGTGTATACTTTTATAATTCCTAATGTTAACGAACGATTGATCTTGATTTTCGGAAGTATCCGTAATTTATATTTCGCCCTATACTTTTACTTTCACATTTATGCGAGACCGGTGTGTATATATGCGTATCCCGCTGTTACAGGGTTCTACCCGAAATTCGGAATGTTCATTTTTGCCGAACGCCGATATTCGGTTGGCCGATTCGCTGACATTCAATACAATTATTTAATTCCAAATGAGTTATACTCGTAATTAAAAATATCATTTGTATATATTAAATATCATATCGATTTAAATTCTTTGTATAAATCGCGAATATTATCCAACTCGACTATCATCTACCTATAAAAATACCTAACCTTGCGAGTTTTCAAAATGAAAACGGAACATTATTGCGACCAAGTATTCCATCATAATACATCGAATCGTACCATTTTGTAGTCTAAAACTGCAATTTGAAATGTTATTAGAAAAAAAAGACCGTGTTATCATAATACGTCCTTCAAATTTATAAACGCTATACCTTTTTTCCGATTCTCTATATTTAGTTTTCATCTTTCCATCGTCGATTGCATTGTTTATTTTTGTGCCACGTGGTCAAGTCCAAAGTTTGTTTGTTGGTTTTACAGCTCTGATAAAATGAAAACGCTCGGTCTCGGTCATAAAAAATTATTTTCGTGTTCCGCGCAACCGCGACTTGCGCCGGTAATTTTTCCATTTTTACCGGAGACCGGTTTCCGCGTCGGCGCGAGTCGGGCCTGAACCATTTTCCGGCACTTCCGAGTAATCGTCGCGGAAAGAAAACGAACATCGTCGTTTTACGAATTCGGGGCTCTCGATACGGCGTGACCGACAGCATGTCTGTCACAATCCGCGTTCGCTTGTTGCGGCGCGACACCGGTTTACAGGCGGCACGCAACGACATGACGATATCCCTTCTGAGGCGGCCCGCCATTCACCCCCCCCGCCCTCCCCTCGCTGTAAAAGTCGCAGTAGTAGCAGCAGAAGCAGTAGTAGTGGCGGTAGTAGTAGTAGTAGTAGTAGTAGTGCCATGGCAGTACCTAGGCGTATAGTATTACGACGAGAACAATATAATAATAATAATAATAATAATAATAATAGTAGGTATATACCAGACATTTACCGGTACCGACGAGACGTTAACACGGTTAATAACACGGTTTATCGGCGGCGTCACCGCGAGGCGCCAAGAGGCCGTCCCACACGTGCACACACGCGCCGGGGACCCGAGTCTGCGTGCGTGCGCGTATCCGCGCGGTTTTTTTTTATTCTCTCCGCGATATTCTGGTTTTTTTTTTTTCGCTGCCACACGACGATAATAATAATAATAATAATAATAATAATAATAATAATAACAACGCACGCGTGGTGTGTACCGCACGGTGCGGCGCGCGTACCTATAACACGCACACACGCGGACCCGACGACGAAGACGTCGCCGCCGCCGACGACGTCTCACCCACAGACTCCGCCCACGGTATCCGCGGCGTCCGGACGCCTCGCCGGCACCGGCTCCTCGGGAGTGCGCAATGTTTTTTTTTTTTTTTTTTTTTTTTTTTTTTTCGATTTTTTTTTTTGATTTTCTATTCCGCTAGTAGGTACTCTCCGCTCGCCGGGTGATAACGACGCCCGTTAACGGTATGTACGCGGTTCCGGAGTCGGCAGATTGCGCGCCCCGAAAAAAAGGCGATACCCTAAGTAAATTGCGACCCGGGTGTATTTTGTGCAATACATCATGTGTCTAAATATTTTTTATTCGTACGTAAATTATGTCTAATCGATATTTACCTTCCTATTTTTCTGAGACCGAGTATTGGAGAAATTTGAATTCATCAATCACTTTCAACATTGCATTCCTTTCGCTTTTCATAAAGTTCGTTTTTAAAAAATTGAAAAAAAAAATTATCTTACAAATTTTTACCACTTTTCTTATTAACGTTTTCGTAAATTTTTTAACTATAAACCATTGCTTACAAAAAAAAAAAAAAAATAACGATTTTGAGCAGAGTTCAGTTGATAGTGATGTTTTGTCAACGATATACGAGGTCTGTTCAAAAGGTTCCGGGACTATTTGGATTGCGCACCAACGGAGCGTCCAAGAACCGTAGGATTGATATCAGTAGATCCTGTGATTTCTCTTGAGTACATCTTTGTTTGTAGTTTCTCTATAACTTTCTTTGTTTTCGATGTTTTCTTAAAATATTTTTTTTTGCATTTGGCAATTTTGTATTAAATCCAAAAGAAGAGCTTTTTTTTGGTGGTGGGAAGAGTTGGTTGGAGAAGATTTTTCCCTTATTTTAATGATAATACAACGATACAGGCAATGATAACTATTATTATGATAAATTATCAAAAAGTTGTTATTTACCGTAAGTACTAAAAAATTTCTGATAAACCTGAACTTGAACCTTCCTCCACATTCTCTCGAAAAACTTTCACTTTCACTGCACATCTACAGGTTTTCAGTTACAATTTGTTTGCAAAAGTCATGTGAAACGTTGCATTCTTCTATACCAAACAAGATTCTATCAAAAAAATGAAAGGAAAAATCCCACCCCCCCAAAAAGCTCTTCTTTTGGATTTATTACAAAATTGCCCAAATGCGAAAAAAATATTTTACAAAAACAATCGATGACATCAAAACAAATAAGGTTATAGACAATCTACTAAAACAGATGTGCTTAGAAGTCAAAGAAGCCAGTGATATCAATTATATTACATTTAGACGCTCTGTTGGCGTGCAATCCATTTGGACTATTCAGTCCCGGAATTTTTTTAATAAACCTTGTTTATGTAATTTTATAGTAAAATAATTAAAAAGGTTTTGTGTATTTTCTTTAATAATATTTGTTTAATGTTGTACCGATTTTTCTAGTTTTCTTTTGTCATTCTCTGTTTCCATTATTTTATCCCGGTTTTTTACATTTGCTAGAAAAACTCTTGGAAAATCAAAAAATTACTTCTTTAAAGTACCTCCCAATGCCAATTTCCTTTCAGAAAAGGTGCTACATTTAAAAATCTAAGCAATCTTTTGGTAGAGAAGTTGCGTACAGATAAAAAAATAAATATCTGTAAAATAGCATAAGTTTCTTCGCTTCATTTAGAATCTAAAATAATTAGTAAATTGTAAAACTTTCCTCTCTATTTGCCTTTTATTATAGCCTATTGTATTATAGCCTTTTAGAACATTTGTTTAGGAATTTTTATTTGCTCTCGCCAAGTAAATCGAACATTTTACTTAACGCTACAAATGATTACAATATTATGATGCTGAATATTATGAGCAATAGTTGTGATGCTAAATTGTGTGAATGTACACAAACTCAACAATGTTCCGATACTTCTGGAAAACATATTCCGCACCAAATGTGTCACTTGGAAGAATTCCGTCAATCAGTGATTCCAGAAAGTCTTGGTAAAGCTCAAGATAAGTTAATAAATAATTTTGTAATTTTGAAAAATTGTGAACAACGTAATGCTGATGAAGAAATAAGAAATGTTATCGACGACGTTACAAACATTGTGCAGGATTATATTGAAGCTGAAGTGTTAAAAAGAAAAACCATATTAAGTGAGATACTAAAATACATTATGAAAATGCGTTTAATCTGTGTATATTGCCACAATGCGACTTGCACTACAGTAAATGGTAAAGAATTGGCGTTACACATACTAAAAAATCACTGTTTTACGACTCCAGAACATGAAAATTCTGAAGAGATTGCTGAAAAATTAAAATTATTTAGAAAATGTTTATTATTTAAATCAAGATCATTTCAATTCTAATGATAATTATCCAGTGGCTTTACGTCCACGCATATTATCTCCAGTTCGTAAAGTTATAGCCAAGCCTGAAATACAACTTAATAAGTGGATAAATCCGTACAGTGAAGACACGAAAAAGATGAATGTTGACCAATTTCTTCAGACAAAAACGAAACAAAAATATGTTGCACATAAACAAGATGCTTCTATAAATATTGTGTCATCAAATGATAACTTGCGGCTGACTATAACCCAATCTAAAAAAAAGGAAAATTTCTTGTAACGAAGAACAGATAAAGAATGAAATCGAACAACCTAAAAAAAAGAAATAATACCAGTGACGATAGTAGTAATAAACCACAGTTATCGAATGTTTCGATAAAAAACCAAAAACGGGAGCAGAAACCTCCAAAGCCATGAAAACGTAAAAGTCAATTAATGAAAATCAAGCATGTATAAATGAAGTGTAACCCAAATGACAGGCAATTTTAAATTTTGATTGTGTTGTTATTGCTGTAGATCTTAAGGATATTTGAATTTGTTCAGATTATCATTATATAAAAAAATATGTTGTATTAAAGAAAAACGACAAAATGTACATTTACTCACTTTAATATTGTTATTATTTTGTTTTCATATATTTGTTTATTAATTGTAAATTGATGAAAAAAAAAAAAAAAAAAAAAAATGTCTCGATATTGTTTGGCTTATTATTATTTTTTAATTAAAAGCTAATGATAGTGAAAAAAGAAATACATTAGTATGAAGTATTTTTACCATTACATATACTGGTACCTATATTAATTTATACGTTTATATAGTTAATATTATTAGTACTTAAATAAAAAAAAATTCTATAATGTTGATAGAGATATAAAAAAATAGAGTTGTATTCTTCAGCAACTAGATCCGAAATGCAACAAAACTGGTCTCTTGCCTTTTTTTGATTTAAGCAATATTTATGGTAGAAGAACATACCTAGTTTGTAAAAATTAAAAACAATATAGTTGGTAATGCGCCGTAAATATTTGCTGTTTTTCCGATAATTTCCGATAAAGACTTACTTTTTTTCTTGACTTGGTAACGTTTTTTTAAAATTGTTTGGCTATTCTTAGGCATTTTACGTTTTCGAGTTTCTTACGTAGTTTTTATTTGTAGGTACTATGTGGATATAAATGTTTAATCAAACAAAAATGCTTGAAAATTCAACAGGATGTTCATTATGAGTTGAACTTAATAGTAAAAACAAAATAGAATCTAAAGTAGTATATATTTTTAGATTCGGAACGTATCGAAGAATGTATTGGTTTTAAAATGATGTTTTTGTATTATTTTTTTTAAAATGATGTTTTTGTATTATTTTTTTTAAAATCTATGTACAACTTTTCTATTAGAAATGTTGCTCCGATTTTCACGTGTACAATTTTATCTAAGTGAGAAAAATTTATTGAATGAAATCCTCAGATTTATCCATTTATTATTTGAAAATCTACCCAGGATGACCGTCCTTTAACCCGGTTGGCCGTAACGGTCGCAATTTACACACAGACACATATATACACACGCTTACACACATGCACGTTTTGAGGACACGATTTATGTACGTGGTATGGTACGGGTGCGTGAGTTTCGCAACTTTAACCTAACCTAACACTGTAGTGATCGCCGTGTATACCTATTATGCAAATAATAAATGTAAAACAATATTGGCGCGCGCAAAATCAAACACGCCGCCGCGGCCGAAGGCCTCTCCGCCTTTTTACAAGGTTTTGAATTAATGATAAATTCGATTGACCTGTTAATTTCGCTGAGAACCGCGGTAACAGTGTTATGCAATAAAAATAATCTAACCGTTCCGTTAGATTCGCATCCGGTAGGACGTAATTATTATTATATTTTTAGGTATTTTTGCGCGAGCATTATACGTGACTACCTACTATATAAACTATTATTATACGAGTAACGAGTATACCACACCGCGGGTGACACACCCGTCCAGAGGCGTCATTTCGCATAATATTTTTTCCGTGGGACGAGTAATAGTAAAAAATCGGTACACCGCAATCACAATATATTTATTTTATTAGGTACCGGTACAAAAATGATGATAATAACATACATGCACATTAATTATATTGATATATTTGATTCTGAGCGCAGTGAGGAACGTATTTGTTTTACGATGATGTTGTTTTTTTTTGTTTTCAGTCTGTGAACAAATTTTCTACTAGACATTTTACTCCGATTTTTAAGTGTTGTTTCTTTTCTGAGTGTAAAATTTGATCTAGTTGGTGTTTCAGGGAGGTTATTTTTTGATTTTCCTTAAAGGTATGTTTTTAACTATTGGGAAAAAATAAAAGTAAAAAACAGAACTTAGGCGAGTGAAAATAATAACAATTGTTATAAAATGTACAGAGTTGTCGTCGATAACAATATAAGTAACATATAGGTTGTTTTGTTGGCACACGATAAACTGTAATAAATCTCAGTCTTATAGGGTTTACATACATTTCTTTCAGAAAAATTACTATACTTGATATATCGATGCAAGATTGCTGATAGAAAATCTGTTCACAGAAAAAAAAAAAAAAAAACATTGTATAACCACCAGTATACATTCCTCGTACGCTCGGAATCTAAAAATTTCTAAAGGATTCTCAATCGTTTTTCTAAAAGATCAATAAATATGGATTAATTTGTTTGTTATGTTTGAGTTCTTTTTCTGGCTTTACGAGGGGAAAATAAAACCGGTTTACTAAACTCTGTTTAGGATTGTTTTTGCACTGTATTGTATCTATTATTAAATATATATATATAATGTATATACATGGGATTCTAAAATTTCATGAAATTTATATTTTTGAAATATTTCATGATGATGAAAAATCAAAAAAAAAATCAAAATAAAAATAAAATCTATTTTTTCAGATTTAATATTCTAATAGTAACTATGATAGACGACAACTACTATTAAGGCATTGAATGGTCCTGATTGAATTTTTTAAAAATTGTTTATCAACAAATAAAAGTCTTAATGAATAATTCAGTCAGTTTCAATTTTTAAAATTATAGATATTTGTTTATTACGGCATGTACAAGGCTAATTAGAATAATTAGTATATGTGTAGTATTTAAAGTTTAAGGTGAATCAAATATTGAAATATTAGTCAATATTATGACGTCATAAAACATGATATAGAATCGAACCAACAAACAAATATTTAAAAACAAAAATATTTGGTTTTTGGTTCAGTTTTGTATTATGTTGTATTTATATATTATATTTTATTCCGTTACTTTTGGACATTTTAGCGGCTCTACGGGCCAAATGAGCTTAAACTCGGAATAAGAGTTTTTAAATTTGGTGAATTTCAATAAGATTTTCACCATGTTATTACGAAAGGATAGTATTTTTTTAGTTTTTCCTAAAATAAAGCTCGGATGGATGAAATTGTGTACACATAGTATATTGGTTGTACAAAAATACTATGTCAACAATGTCTACCAGAAATCTTGCTCCGGTGTGGCATAATTTCTGAAAGTAAATATTATCTAGACTTTAGATAGTACTTTAAGAAAGTCATTTTTTGATTTTCCAAGAGGTTTTCATAATATCTGGAAAATCTCGAGATAAAACGTAAAAAAAAAACGGGAAATTTACGAAAAAAATGCTTTTTATTCTTTAAATTTTGTTATTATTGTACTCGTAATTCATTTTTGTTTTTAAAAACAAAAATTTAATGTAATATACATTTTTTTTTTTATAAAAATCTTAAAGCAAATTTTGATGAAAATCGTTTTAGTAACAAATTATGTGAAACAAATCTAGTCACTGGTCCATACAAATTGTTTCAATGTATATTTATTTTAATATTATGTGACATAAAAATTTTTGAAAAAGCAATACTATTACCCAAACTCTGCTCAGAATCGTTTTTCGTTAGCAATGATTAATCATTACTTACAGATATACATTAAACTTCCCTCTACTTCCTACCTTCCACACTTTTCATCTACAACAGCGGTCCACTCATCGTGCGAAGTATGTCTGTCTTTTTTTTTATGCTCTTACCAAACATATATATATGCATTTACGTTTCAGTGGTCGATTTTATTATAATATAATTTTTATCTTGTATATTTATTACTTCAACTACAGCTCATTACGCGCGTTCCGGTCGTGTAGGTTGTTGTTTTTGCTTACACGTATTTAAAACGACAGGAACTTCTTCTGGTCGGCATCCGTTCTCCATTTTATACTTAAACTAGAGATTTTACGATACGAGACTCAGGTCCTCATTTAAACATATATTGCTCCGGGGGCGACTAGCAACCTCTCTCCCCAAAAAGTTATTTATCAAAATGTAAGATAAAACTATGTTGAGAACGAATGCAGTTTATTAGTACCGTGTTCGTTTCAAAAATATTTCCCCGAATCATGTTTTATGGCATTTTGAAAGTATTTTGACGAATAATATTGTGTTACATTGATATTGAAAGTTTTACTGACAAAGATCAGTTGAAATTAAATGCCATAAAATAGTTGATTTTACGTCTATAAAATTTTCAACCAATAAAATTTTTCTAAAAATCTATTTAACAAAATGGCCATTTTTAATATTTTCAATTTTAAATTCTATGCGGAGCCAGGAATTTATTGGTTTTACAATGACGTTTGTTAATTAATTTTTGTTTTCTGTGAACAACTTTTCTACTAGCTTTTTGCACAGATTTTCAAGTGTGGAATCTTTTTCGAAAAGAAAATTGGCTAGGATAGTACTTAAAGGAGGTCATTTCTCCCATGGTAATTTTTGCATTTGGTCATATTTTCCTCTGGTTATTTTGGTATATAGACATTTTTATCTGGCTATATTTCTCTGTCGTCATTTTAGATTTGGCCTAGACTCCTTGTCTCCCTTCCTCCTAATTATGGGACTGACAATATATTATATATATATATTCCTGCAATAATCGTATTACAATATGTATTTGCGTGAAAACGACTAAAAATCGTCTTTTCGTCACTAACATATATTGTAATAACACTATATTTTTGTCTTCATTTACATCAAAAATAATAATTATTTTGTAAACCCAGGCGGCAGTCTTGTACGTCTTTGACACATTCGAATCTAGTCAAAATATGCGAACGCACGTGTACTATTTTTATTGCCTAGTTTTTTTGTATAGATTATATTGTGTTATAAATATTGTAATAGTATTATATAGGTAAGCGTATTTCGATTTTTTTACGATAGTCGTAACGAACGACGTGATCCCAATTTATCGCGACCGAAAGGTAACCTAATACGAATAGCGTTCATATAATATAATAGTGGTCATCCTTGACGGCACTTTTGTCACTTAAATCCACTTAATACACGAGACACGAAATTTGCAAAACATATTATGCACACGTATATAACAATATAAATGTCTTTAGCTGTAAGTTATTTATATGCGAGAGAAAACGCGGTTTTGGAATTTTTCATTTAGGGGGTCTGCGCGCGACCCGTTTTATTTTTTAGCTCGAATGAATGCTTTACAGGAAAAATTCTGATATCTTGTAGAGTGAACCGATTTCGATAATATATTTTTTTTTTTTGTCGGAATGAGGAGGACTTTTTACAGGGTATATTGAACTTAATTCTGGAACATAAAAAATAAAGTTCATAATCGATTCACTATTTTTACTGTAAAACACGTAGTGAGTTACAAAAAAAACCCAGATATTACGCAGGAACCTTTATATACAAATTAAAATTGATTCAATTATTTGTTGAGAATCATTAATTGGAGATATTAAGAAATTGTACAAAAACACGAGCAGTACCCTTCAGAGAACAGCTTATCGGCATCTATTGTCTCAGTCTTAAAAACGCGTGACATAGCAATTTTGTGCCGTTAGTTTTAATATTAAAACGAATTGGACTTTATCACCAACCTTAAAGGTAAAAAGATTATCTGTGCCCTAGCGTTGGTTTTTTCGATATTTAAATTTTTAATCGAGATATAATTATTTTTAAATAGTGATATTTCATATACTCATATTTCTTCAACTTTTTAAAAATTAACATATGAAAAAATATTAATGCCCCTAGCATTAATATTTTCACAGATAATTTTCTTACCTATAAGTGGTGGTTTTGAGTATATTCGCATTGTATTGGACGCAAATGTGCTATTAATCCGTTCGTCAGACGGAGACAGTAAATGTGGGTGTGGCGTCCTTTTAAAAAGTAAAACTATTTACTTTTAAATCATAGGATATTGGTTAGAACCGTTCTGAAAGTGGCGGATTTGAGGGAGGTGACGTGGCGATCCTGTTTAGTGCTTTTTCTAAAAATTTGTACTTGAATTATACAGGTACCCACGATGGGTTAAGATGGGAGGGGGATTCATCGGTGTACGTTTGAACGTAAAAAATATGAGTGTATATTATAATAGTATATAGTATATTATAATATACACCTATATTGAAACAAATTTTAAATTCATACAATTTATTTTTAGTATCTATTACGATACCAGTTTTTTCCCGCTTTAAATGAACTTCAGATCCACTACTGGTTCCGACCGGCTATATAAAGATTCACGTATTTTGTGATTACAGACTAGAGTAAACATAGAATGTGTATACTAATATTATTACGTTCGTTATTATACAATGCTTTATCAAAAAATTGAGCCCTTCAAAAAATGTTTGTTCGATATTCCTCTTCCCTCAGAAAATCGTATATACTACGGTTGTGTAACGTGAACGCTAAACGAAACAAATAACAATTGCTGGATACACAAAGTTTAATGTTGTCAGCGTATGCTATTATTTTTTGTCGTCTATTTCGTTTTGCGTAATTTGTTTGCAAAAAAAAAAAAAAAAAAAAAAAAAATAAATAAAACAAAACAACAAATAATAATAATACAAAATATCAAACGGGCTTACAATGCCAACAATACACAAACTGTGAACACACAATAACATTTATACTTGTAAACATATTTCGAATAGGTTGTATATCAACGTTCGTTTTCAAGTAGTAATTTTTTTTTGGACTCCATAAATTAATATAAGGCGTAATCGTTGATATTAAATTAACCGATCGTATTCAGTATATTATTATACAGTCGGACAAAACGAAATGTGGTAGATACAATGTCCGATTAAGAGCCCGATAGGTATTAGGCCGTGAACTCGAGGAACTTGAAGATCTGTGGGCCACAATCTGGTGGGTACTAAAGATTTTTTTTTAACGATTTTCACATTTTCGGACAAGTCATTCAAGAGTCTAGAAGGAAAATCGAAAAAAAAAATATAATAAAATAAAATAACCTCATAGATCGCCGCCAAAAAAAAAAAAAAAAGGAGAAGCTTTTTCGGTCGTTTTTTCGATTGGCGTGAATTTCTGGTAAAAAGAGTCGTCGACAGACGGGGAGAAAACAAAGCACTTATCAAGTACAGTAAACCCATTGAATTCTACGCTTCGTCTGGAATTCAATATTAATCGTACGCAATAATAATAGACGTATCTCGTCGAAACCGTCCGCAACAAGAATAAAAGAGCGCGGCACTCCGGAACGCGCCGGTCGCCCGCGTCGCAGTCGCACTGTCGGCAGCGTCCGGGCACGGGCGCCGTTTAGGCGAGCCCGAAGCCGCCGCCGTTGCCGCCGATATTATAATTGGATACCGAAAAATCTTATACACTTGTATATTACCGCATATTCGTCTCTCGCCTACCCCTCTCCCCCCCCGCTATTTACCCCCGTCCCCACCGTCCGTTTCGACAACCGACAACAATCGAAACGTCAATTTAATAATAATAATTATTATACGGTCGTCGCGTCGGCAGGTCGCGACGTGATTAATTTAACAAACACACGTGTGTATGTATAGAAAAAAATCTGAAAAAAAAAATAAAAAAAAATAAAAAATCCGACTCGTTTGTGTACGCGGGCGCCAAGTACACGAGCGTCTGTGCGTATACCGGCATGGCGGCTGCGACGGTGGCGGCAGCGAGCACCCGGTATACGGTTTCTCTTTCGTATTGTGTAGCTGGTAACCTACCTAATATATTATTATATTGCCGTCGCCGCCGCCGACCTGAGCGATGTTATCTCTACCGAATTTTTTTTTCGACATTTTTTTTTTCTTCTTAAAACACCACGCTTTCAGAGGAATACATTATATTATATTATGTATAAATTATATTAATTAAAATAATCTAGAATCCCCGGGTCGTCCCACGCTTTATTTTTCACCTATTACAATAAATAACTATTAAAAAAAAAAAAAAAAAACATCCGCGTCCGGGTCGGGGACGTGAGGGCGTAGGGTGTGGGCGTCACGTGTGTGCAGTGGTTTTTTTTTTTTTCTTCGCCTTCTGGTAAATACGATTCTAACGCCGCCGCCGCCGCCGTAAACACGATAATATTATTATTATTATTATAAATATTAACGCGCACAGCGACAACGTCGGTTGCGGACGGTTCGGAAGACCGCAGAGGCGTATGAGACTATTATATAAAGGGGGGGGGGAGGAAACAGGGGGAAACTGCAATTTTTATAGGCATTGCGTTTTTAAGGGAAATTATTATTATATTTATATGATATTATAATTTGAATTTGAACCGGGGGATTAATACGGCCATTTCAAATCTTTATATGTTCAGACTGTTTCGTTAACATTTTATCACCGAAAAACTTCATTAAAATATCAGGTGTGGAGACGGAAAATTTACGCTCTGTACGTTTATTCGTACTGTAATGGAAGAATTGTTTTTGTACGCGCTCTTAAACGACGTGTTATCATTTATTATATTAGAAAAAAATAAAATAAATATCGTATTAACGGAGTTAAAACTTGTACGAATTAGTTTGACGACATGCTATGGACCGCGGGGAGAATGAAAAATAAATATGTTCTAGGAAAAATTCGATTGAGTAGTTAAGCTACAGAGCGTACAAGGTCATCAGGCAATAATTAATTTGAAATATTTTCGATATTCCCAATAGTTTCTTCAAAAAGCTGGACACTTTTTGTTTTTTATTTTAATACACTTGTTACTTTTGTTAATTTCTGGATTACCTTGACCGTCTAGTGATTAATACTATACCTTAATAGTAAAACGAGCTCTGTTCAGAGAAGTTTTTTGATCGCAACATTTATCGTTGCATTCAGTAGGTGTATAAACTAAGTTACCCTTACCTATATTACATCTATTAAATTTCCCTCCTACCGGCCTACCCGATTATATGATCTGCTTTTTTTAAATACATAGTTTACAAATCTGTTTTCGATTCTGAGTTTAGCGAAGAAACAGTTTTCTTTTTCGTCGGAAAACAAAAATGCTCTGATGTTTTGACGCGGTATTTTAAAAGTCGCGGAATTTTTGCTCGGTGTAGTAATTATACTTTATAATATAATATGAAATTATGAAAGCGCTCAGGGACGCAATTCATCTGACGTTTTTGAAACAGCTGTAGTTGATCGAGAGGCAGTAGCACCATCAGTATATATATATTTCATGTTATGGGGGAAAAAATTATTGCGTGTATTAACCACCTACCAGAAAAAAAAAAAGAAATTAAAAAATGAAGAATTTTCGAGCATTATAATATACTAGGTTACGCGTAACCATAACGTCATAACAAAAATGATTTAATAAAACTATTTTTTTCTCTTCGTAAATTATAATGTTTTTGGTAACTATGATAATATCGGAAGATGTGTCAAAAATAAGACTTAATAAAAACAACGCGGACCACTGTACACTGACGCACGCCTGTTAAAAAAATAAGATTTTTTGTCCCGATTGGTACCAGATAACGGCGTCTCGCCGGGGCCACTGACTGGGGTTTTCGGTGGTATACAGTGTGTCTTTTCTCGCGTAAACAATGTCGTCATAATAATTAAAAATAATAAAAAAAACCTTAGCCAAACTGAAAATCGCCCACCGAAACCCACGAGTTGTCACAATATAGTATAATTAACACATATACAATATTATGCGTGTGCTGCACATAATATTTACTTGTAATAATACGGTGTGGTGATAATGTTCATCGACAACGAGACAATAAAAAAAAAAAAAAAATATAACAATAACGTTCTGTTTTTTTTTTTTTTTGTTCTTGTATATTTTGTATTCGTATGACTTTATTATTTACATTGTCGTGTGAAAAAAATAGGTATATATAATTTACAATATCGTATAATATAATATTATTAAGCGTATATTCTTTTCGTATACGTGTGTGTGTGTGTGTGTGTGTATAAAAATATATGTAGTATAAATTATAAGAATAATAATTATGATAATAAGTATTATCTATATGTAAAATAACAATTTAATAGTAATAATTAAATATTATAATATGATATGTACAAAGGGACAACACGTGTGAAAAAAAAATCAAGGAGTTTTGAATAAAACCTCACGTATACGGTGAAAACTTTCTGTCTAAAACGGAACTTCAAGGGACACAGGTCTTGGAATGAACGAGTTCAAAATGTGTATACGAAACACAGTGATGGTTCCCTCTTCCCAAACTCCGAATTTAGATTACGAAAAGTAGATTTTGTGTTACAGTTTTTATATTAATCTTAAATTTTGTTGATGATCAAAACATTCATGTAGATAAGAAAAAAAATAATATGTTACTTAATTTAAATAAATGGATATATATTAGGTACATTTTTTATATGTTAAATATCAAAGGACCCTTCCCCCGGAAAAAAGTTTCAAAAAACGCCACTGGCGAAACATGAAATGTGAATTTTATGCCTGTGAATTAGTTCACGAATGAAATTATATTTCAAATGAACATTCAAAAGTCTTTAGGAACCGAAGACGATTTTCGTTCTATAGAAGTTTAATTACGTACGTGAAATCATACAATTATTTTGATAATGTTTAAATGTCTCTTTTATATAGTGTTTTTGTTTTACTGAGGTCCGTCTTAGACAGTTGTTTTGTCGTATTAAATGCGGTTCAAAACTGAACAATTTTTTTCATCGGTGTCGTTTTTTTACCGATTTTTACTGATAATGACGGTTATCGCATAATCGTCTTTAATAGTAGTTATTTCGCTCTCTTGTCGGATCGAACGATTGTATTAATATAACACACAGAAAATTGAAATTGATATGTCAAAGTTGGACAATTTTAATTAAGGGGCAAAGAGAAATGGGGAGGGCACTCGTCTTCTAATAGTTTAAACGAACCGTTAAAAATACGAACGATTGTTTGAAAAATAAACTATATATATTATATTATAATCTAAAGAATTATTATTAAAAAATTGTAGATGTTTAATATTTAAATTATCATTGTTTTATATTCAATCAATGAATTCGGTACTAAGTTCGGGGTATAGACGCAAACAGAGAGAAGTAAAATGGGGATTAATCCCTTTTTTTTTTAAAAGATTTCCAGGCAGACAATTTGTGTCCACGGTTCGTTCCGTCCCTACATATAGGAAATGGATTAGGGACGTCCTTGTAATATTATATTATTATAGAAATGTGGTCCGATCCGGCTGTGGAAACGACGAAGAGGTGCGGGTAAAGTCGACGATTTCTCATTCCGTATCGAGTATATTAAAAAATGTATTGGGACTGTCGATGCGCGGTATGTCTATATTATATTATATTATAAATTAAATATTCTTAATGTCTAATTGGTCGAAAAATGAACCGTGTTTTAAACGTATAATATAATATATAATATTATTTAAGACTAGTAGTGTAGTGTGCAACGAGTCGTCCGACTTGTAAAAAAAAAAAAAAAAAAATAAATAATAAAACAAAATAGCCCATGGACCGAACTGCAGGCCGGCGGTTCGTCATTCGGAGACGTCGGGCGCGCAACCGCATCCGCACTCGGTGATCACCGGGTATTCCACCTTCAACCACTGGCACGCCTTCGGGGTTTCTTTCTGCGCCTTATTGCCGCTTATCAGAGTGTTGTACTGTTGGAGCGCGGCCGACGGGCTGCCGACGCTGATGCTGTTGCCGCTGTTGCGGCAGTGCCACCGCAACAGCGTCTTGTGCTGGTTGCCGATGGCGTGGCAATACATGCCGGCCGGCACCGAGCACGAGACCTCGCCCTTGGGACAGTGGCCCTCGAGCAGCCACCGCGGCCAGAACCGCGTGCCCAGGTCCTTCCACTTCCGTTGCACCGGACACATGGTCTTGCCCCACAGGTACTGCTGGATCTTCCGGCGCAGTTGCCCGGATATCCGGGTCCTGAGCCGCCGGCCGCTGGGCAGCGTGAAGTACTTGGTGTCCATGTCCCGGATTTCTGCGGGCATCTTCCCGGCGGGCACCAACCGTCCACGGTGATTTCTCCTGCGGCACATACAAACAAACATTTTCCGTTAAAACAACGCAACAAAACGATACCGGGTCACATCTGCGTATATACGTTAATATCATTAATACGGATGCATCCACAGGCGTATTTATGATAGTGATGCGACATAAATCCGGATTGTCCAAAAATCCGGATTTCGGCCATAAAATTCCGGAAATTCCAATTTCGGATTTAAACATTTCAGTTTGACATTTATTATGTATACCTGTGTGTTTGTATAACGTGTATGTAAATCTAAATATATATATTAAAGGATTTTTACCGAAAATCGGATTTTAATTACATTTTTGATTTTAGATTTCAAAATTCTGGATTTCGATTTCGAATCCAGATGGTCGAATTTAGGCAGATCCAGATTTTTCTTATCGCTAATTTAAATGTCGGTTGAAAAGGTTAAGCCCTCTTTAGAGATCAGTTTCAACCTACCCCTCGGTTTTATCCTTTATCTTTGTAGCACGTGTAGTACTCATCTAAAAAAAAAATCTTTTAAGTTTTTATCAGTTCGATTATATCTATACACAATATATTTCGAAAAGCGGCATTTATACGAAATACGTTTAAGCTCAGAATATTTTCTTTAGGACAACAATTCAAATTTTAAAGGGCACTTTATCTAAATCGTCTAATACACGCGCATCAAAATACATTATTATTTACCGGTGTGCCAGTGATTTTCGATAGATCGGGGTGTAAAACCGGGTGAGTAAAAAGTATGTAAACAATTAAATATTTGTATTCAAAAATACCTAAAAAATATCCCTACATTATATTCACGGGATTGAGAATGGAACGTTGAAGACTATCCTGTATTTTAAGTTTGACCAGATCACACGCTTTGAGAGTTTGAACACACACACACGTTCACACATTATCTTATCAAAATCGGCGGAGTAGTTTCAGAGTGCATCGCACCTAAACTCATCGTACGCGTTGCCCGTGACAATTTGTATTGTTATTATTTTACCCATATTCATTTTTGGTTTTGGCCGTATTAGAATTGAATGAAAACAAATAGGTGGAAAGTGGGTAGTTCAAATGTGGACTAAATGCGAACAGTGTGAATAATAGTAACAATAATGATTACAATAGTTTTCTTTTCCGTGGCAATTCTCGAATAAACAAAAATCGTATATAAATAAAACAAAGTCGGGTTAGTTACAATCGGCTGGACCGATTTTAATGATCACGTGATATTTTCCGATTAATTTCCGAATAATAATTGATCACTTATTTTTTTCATCCGTGTTGCCGGGGTAACACAAATCAACAACAAAAAAAAAATTGTATTTATTATATTATAAGCTAAATTATTTGGTCTTGCTCGTGTATATTTATGTGTAAGCGAAGATGCTAAAATCACGATTAAAAAATAGTAGGTGGGGGTAAAAGGGTGAAAAATACTTTACGACCTATTTTCAGACCTACCTACCAAATATGCACAAACAATTTCATGAAAATCGGTGAAGCCGTTTCGACGGAGTTCAATAACAAACACTGTGGCCGGAAAATATTTTTTAATATATAAGATATAAAAGATTAAACATGAAAAATAAGTAGGTGTATGAAGTCGAATCAAAAACAGAAATTTTCTTAAGCTACTAGTCTAAATGTATGAAAAAACGAATCGCTTTCAATCACCATAATTGGAAAATGTAAACTTTGAATTAATGACATCGGTTGCGCCTACACTTTATAGATGACGAATTTACTAATAAATTTTGGTGTACATTTGTTTAACTTTGCCGTATAAATTAGATTATTTTTAATTTTTCAAAAACTAATCATTATCATTGTTTATGCACGTTTTATTTATTTTTTTTACTGACCGTAAATTTGATTTAATTTGACCACGCACAAAAATGTCAAAACTAATTTGAGTACGCTAAGTAATTCTCTCGCATCATTTCATTTAATGTTTGTTACAAAAATATATGCGTTATCAAATTTTAGACATTTCTTTTTTGCCTATTATAAATAGTTAAAAAAAAAGAAAAAAGGGACCAATATTGCTACTATATTATCAGGGAGTTATTTAATTTATATCTACCTAAACGATAGATTGTTGTTAACAAAAACAATTCTGAGAAAATGTTCGTTAGACATGTTTGGAAACGCCATGATTTTTACGATTTTTGTCGAAATTTGAACTTTAAAAAAATAAAGAGAGCGCTAATATAAGTATTCGGAGAAAATTTCAGATGTTCGCGATGATTTCTTACCGATTTCCTACATAATAACTAAATTGATAATAACAGAATACCGATATTGTGTTAATTTTCCCATTTTTTCTCGGTTTTTTTTTTTTACAATTATTAAGAAAAATAAAAAAAAAATTCCTCTTCAACTCACCAATTTGACAACATTTTCAACCAGAAACTATCCCTAAAGTAACTATCGGAGAAAGATTTCACGTATGACCTTCTTTTTTTTTTAAACCCTTGGAAATATCACTTAACTAAATAGTTCGAAGCGTCTCTTCTATACAAATTTTAAAAATGATCTAATCCCTCTCCCCAAGACCTAGTCCAGGTTACAGGTCGATTTCAGGATTCCAGGTTGCTTTAACAGCACAAATATTGACAAAACGAATACATTCCTCATTACGCTAAGATTAAAAAAAAAAAAAGATAAATAAAAAAAAATGTTCTCGTATTACGTAAAACTAGAGACACTTTTTCGTCTATGTAACCGAGGGAACTGCAGAATTCTATTTTCCTATTATATTAAAACCGTAACATATTACGCTACGGGCAATTTGGAATGCACTTTTCCCAATGTACAATGTGCTAGTTCTGTCCGGGGAACGTGAACCGCATAATGTATTTCAACGTGAAATGTGTGATTGTATAATATGTTTAACAGTTTATTTGTATTAATACTTTTCTATGATATTGCGATTATCGAATTTATTAATTGTTTTATATTTCACAGAGATTTAGTTTATTTTTGGATTCGGTGAGCAGCGAAGGATCTATTGGTTTTATTGTGATGCGTGTTTTTATTTCTGTTTGTGTAACAATTTGTCTACCAGCAATCTTACTCCGACGTATGAGGTGTAGAACTTTTTCTGAAGGAAATTTTCTCTAGTTGGTGCAGAAAACATGGTTCAATCGACAAATAACTTTTATTGTTACATTTTGGATCTAGTTAGTGCCATTAAAGAGGTAATTTTTTGGATTTTTCGAGGGGTTTTCAAAATAAATAAGAAAACCGGAAAGAACATTAAATGCGAACCGGTAAATATCCATGGTGTTTCACCAATTCACCAATTTTGTTGTTTAAAATTTTTACCATCTAAGTTTTCTACTAGAAATATTGTTTTAATTAAAAACCGACAAGTGAATTTTTTTATCTAGTAATCTAGTCGACGAGTTAAAAAGTGGTTTTAGTAGTTTTTTAAATAGTTGAGTAAAATCTAAAAAAACTTAAAAAGAACGGAACAATTTACGAAAATAATTTTTTTTTTCATTATCAAATTTGTTTTTTTGTTGCGGTTCAATTAAAAATATTTGTAGAGATTTGAAATTTGGATAAACAACTTATATTGCTTTTTCTAGACGAGGTCGTTTTAAAAACACTTGAATCATTTTTGAGCTATTATAGATATTTTAATTTTAAAATGTTTTAGATAATTTTTATTTGTTAGGTACTTTGTGGATAAAATTTTTAAACTAAACAGAAATTATTGAAAATTTAACAGGAGGGTCATTATTGATCGTTTTTAGTAGGAAAAAAAACGGACTTAGTTTCAAATCGTTTTTTGTTAGCAATGGCTAACAGGTATAAATTAAATAATTTTATGTATCCTACCTTCCCGAATTTCTATATACAATAGTAGTGCACCTGCACCCAGTATCAGCTCTTTTTTTTTTAAATTTACCTAATCTAAGTTTTTTGTTAATTTTAATAAAATTATTGAAGTGAAACAATCTAACAGCATTTTTTTAAATGCTAAATATAAATTATTAATGTTAGTTAATAATTTTAATGTATTATCATTTTAAATAATATAATTATTCACTTGAAATGAAAAAAAAATGTATAAGTAAACTGTTTAAAAGATCCTTAAAATCGTTTTTAGAGCCTATTGTATAATTCGTAGATGACTAACATATAATATTATCGACGGTTTATGAAATATTAATTATTTATAAAGTTACGATTGTTAAAAAAAAAAAAAAAAAACAGCTCAAGCGGTTGGTATGACGTCTTCATAAGATGATGTCATACCCGCGTGTGTTGTTTCAGCCTTATAGTCGCATGCCATAGTAAATTCGTATTTAACGGCACTGATTTTATGCTGTTAATTTTAATGTTAAAGTAAGTTTATCAAACTTCAAGGTAAGTATTAACATATTGTGTATGTGTTTGTGTGTTGATTTTTTTTTATATTTTAATTTTTAGCGAGATTTATTAGTTTTGTGAAATTTTACATATTATTTAGGTATATTATCATTCATAATTCGCTAAATATTAAAATATAAAAAAATCATATACATACAAACACACAAATAATGATCTTACCTTTAAGTTTGATAGTAGTAGGTCAAAATGTTCACTGTAATATGAAAATCGCACAGGTCGCCCTGTTGAACGTAAAGTCGTTAGGTTTTTGCAAGATGGCGACAACACGCGAGGATATATCGATTTGAATACTCTCTACTATAAATTATGTTGTAGTTTTTAGCGATTAGGGCCGAGTCGACGATAATACAAATTTTTATGGCGAAAGTTATGTTTGTTTACGTTCGAATTTCAATGAAATCAAACGTTTTAATCAGTTTTATTCCACTGTTAACAGTGAAACGATCATTATTACGTACCTTGGAATTCATCTCGATTCACGTTTAAATTGGAAACACCACATTCGTCAAAAAAAAAAAAAAAAAAATACAGATTAAAGAAAAAAATGCGAAAGTTCTATTGGTTAGTCGGGACCCACTCCGAGCCAACTGTGAAAACAAACGTCTACTATACGGAGCTTATGTGATTATAAAACCAATTCGGACCTGGGTATTCAAGTGTGGGATTGTGCCAGTAAGTCTAACATTAATACGCTGTCAAAACATCGTCCTTCGGAATATAACCGCAGTATACCGGTTTGTAAGAAACGATGCAATTCACCGCAATATGATTCTGCCTATAATAGCAGACGAAATCAAAAAGTTTGTTGGCAAACACGTGGACGAGGCTGGATCATCATGTCATGGATTGACATAATCCAATCTTTGAGCTGAGTTCGGTTGTACATGGTTTAAAGGTGGTAATATTTACGATTTGAGAATAATACATAACGTAAATTGTCTCGTTTTTCTATATTTTTTTCGATTTTTCCCATTTATTATTGAAAAATCAAAAAATAATCTTCTTAAAAGTACAAATCAAATAAAATCGAAGCCAAATTTCTGTTGTTCGCAGAAAAAGAGAAAAAGAAATGAACATCATTGTAAACAATATATTCCTCGTTCCCTTCAGAAACGTATAAAATATTATGTACGAAAGCGCGCACTGATTAACAGACCGATGAAATATAAATGATATTAAATGATTAAAGATCAACTGATAATAATTAAATGTACATCGTCTGCGTTCATTTAATAAAAAGTTGCAATTTACAACTTAAGAAATGCTCACTATGTGGTACTGTATAGAGGCCATTTTTAGATTTTCCTAGCGGTTTTCATAATAATCGGGGAAAAGCCGGAAGATTTACGTCCATGTATAAAAGAAACTTCACTTTAAATCGTTTTCAGCTGGCAATGGTTTATCGTTTAGCACAGATATAAATTAAATTTTCCTCTATATCTACTTTCCCAACTTCCACCTACAACAGTAGCTTACCCGTTGTGCGAAGTATGTAAGTCGTTACATACATCATCAATATAAGATGGATTTGCTTGGTAAAATGACCGTTTATAATAGGGTTTTGATTAGTCCGATGGTTATTTCAGTCGCAGACCGTAACAGTGGCGATGTAATCGATTCGGACGAGCGCAAACAATCGCGCGAAAATCACATCCGAATAGGTAGACATTCGGTTCGCTAATTTAAACATTGTCCATTGGCCCGTGTGTATAATAATATGAACACAATTAACATAACGTGTTCTATACCTCAGAAATGTATAGGTAGGTATTTTTGTATACCTGCATAAATATAGTGGTTTTATTTTATTTATTTAATACACCTTTCAGTATAGACTAGCTGTTTAACGCACGTGTATATCTGGCGATAATATTTATTATCTTAGTCGTGGTATTTCGAAACTAAACGTAATCGAGAATTTTTTTAGTGAGAACTGAGTAAAAACCGTACCTATACCTATTCAAATTTGTATAGCAAATCGCAAAAGAAAAAAAAAATACAACAATGAAAACTCCGTTTACGAGATACATACGTGTTTAAAAGACTTTTAGATTCTGCAGAGCGAAGTGAAGAATGTTTGTTTATACTATAATGTGTTTTAAAAAAAGAAAATTGTTTTCAGTCTATAATACAATTTTCAGCCAGAAATAATCTCATTTCAGTCATTCATATCTTAGGTAGGGTTTCTGTCGGCATATTTTCCACGAGATGATGCAATATGGGCGTATTATGTTCGATTATTTAAGTGAATATTTTATTTTAGTTTTTATGTCATTTGCTTATTAGTTATAGGTAGTATGGAAAAAAATTCAGAAAAACGGAAAAATGTACGTATAATAACGGTCGTATTTGATTTTGTTTTTTGTAATCCTATATAAATAATCGTAGAGACCTGACATCAAATACTTAAAATATTTTCCCTTTCCAGAAATTTTAGTTTATTTCAGATTTTATTTAGTTTCGTGTGGTTAAAATGATTTAAAATTTAATGCAAGGTTAAGTATTTATACTTAGTAATCATAACAAAAAGTCGAACGCAACGTAGTAAATTATTCTTAAAAGAGTTTCATGTTCGAATTAATGATAAAATTAGTTAAAACCACGAACAATTATTATTTATTTTGTATTATAGAGACAATTAACTCAAATTAACACGGTTTTCAACATTATATTTATTAAAACTCGGTTATTTTTTTTACTAAACTCTGCTTAGATTCGTTGTTAATTCGTCGTTCGTTAGTTGGCAACAATTTATCTGTACGTACAAATATAAACTAAAATACCCCATATAATATACTTAGTCCTATGAAGAAGGCAATAAGGGCTTAAATTTTTTTTATACTTGTATTAAAAAAAAAAAAAAAAAAAAAAAATGCAAGTTCATGCAAAATCAAAAAGTTCAAAATAAAAAAAAACTCCGGTTTCAAACGCATTTTCGATTGAAAATCCGGACCATCGGACTTCAGCAAATCCGGATTTCCGCCCCCCCCCCACTAATTATATATAATACGTACACTATACGAATGTAACGTCGTAGTAAAGTCTAAAGATAAATCAGAAAATATATTAATAATTTGAGAGATTTCAATATCGATCGGCACTGTGGCTAAGGAATAGGTTTGTTCACAGGCTTATTATGGACGTGACGGCGCGTTTGTTGCCAGACGCGAAACGTTTTTGACCGGTATACACGAACAATGTCAGCAATAATAATAATCGGACGGGGGATGTTTCGACCGCGAAATGTTTTGAACGTGTGATATATCGAGGGGAACCGTCGTATTTCCCTTATCGCGGGTGCGATGGCCGCAGCGAGACACATAATAATAACAATAATAATAATAGTGATAACGATAACATGTATTTTCGCGCAGTAATGGTATTGATACACTGTCGAACTGACCTGAACGGCACGTCGTCGATGGGTACCAGGTGTTCGGGCGCCATGAAGCTCATGCATTTGGGATCGAATTTGGCGCCCAGCTTGGCCAGCAGGGTGGTGACGTTGAGGTCGGCGGGCTTGGGGTCCGACGCCGCGTTGGGCGTCTCGACGAGGTCGGGCACGATGCCCGGGTCGTTGGACTCAACGAGCGGGAAGTCCTGTAGCCGCGTAGACGCGCACGCCACGAAGACGGTGTGACGGGTCGAGCAGCAGCACCAGTACGTCAGCGCGACCAGCACGGACAACCATTTCACAGTCATCTGTAACCGCACAAATTGCATATTAATTGCCATTGGACGGACACGTTTGTTTACGCGCGCATTTCGCGACCGAAATAATGGCACGTGTAACCGGGCTATTCCGTTTCAACAGCGTTGTGTCACAGATACATTTTAAAATACCTAGATAAGAATAATAGATCCGTAATAATTTGTCTATCTAGATGAAAAAAAAAAAAAAAAAAACAAAAAAATATCGCAAAACGAAATGATAAGGCTGCGCGTATTATCGAAAAAACTGCGCGTTTGATGTAACTAATTAATTCGACCGTGATATTAATTGAACATGTTACTATATTATTTCTATAACCGTACGTTACGGTTTTAAAAGTTTCATCTTCAGACGGTTCAATAATTATTCGCCTCAAACAGCGCCTTAGATAAGTCGTTTCTATCATACGGTTAGACGAGATTCACATAGATACAGATAGTTTATCAAGATACGTTTGTGTAGATAAAAAACAACGCTGCGTAAACGATTTTGTTTTGTTCGACGATATTAGTAAATCCCGCAGTGTGTATTCCGGTACTATATCATTGTACGCACGACGCATCATTTGGTCCGTCCCCCTTAACTTACAAGATTTCCTATAAGACGGACAATCGTAAGTGATGACATCGTCCATCGTCAAAGTCTTCGTTTCCCGGACCCGCGTATTATCATTTTCGGATCCGTTTCCGGTACCAGGACGATTCAAATTTATCGCGCTGTGTTTTATCGTGCGCGTGCAAAAGTGTCATACTGCGTTGTTGCTAACAATGATGTCAAATTGCTTCGATCGCTCAAATCGAAAATAACTTTGTATTTGTCATGCAAAACCACAGAACAAGGGGACGTACGCGACAAACTTGTTCGGCGATCGTCGGTATCGGACCCGACAACAGCGGGTTTATAAACGGTATTTTAACGCGTCGAGACGCCATCTATGTACCGATATCCTGTAACCGCATAATATAATGTTCCCGCACACAAACGATTGGTGAAATGGACTAATCTCAAGCAGGGATTGCTTCCCAGGTGCCGAAACGTGTACCGGAATGTCTATACGCTTCCCGGGCGAACCGATCTCGTGGCCGAGTTTACGTTTTATGCGCGCAAAACATATTTTACATTATTGTGATCGAATAAGTCATTGTCATTTGACGCACGAGTGTCGTAATGTAATATTATGTAATGTAAAATATTACCGAAACGTGCCTTTTGTTTTTTCAGTTTACATGAGAAACTCGTATACACGTATTATATTTTCTTAAGTCAGTCGCGTCCGAAATTCTAGCGTGTTTTTATCACTTTGCGAGACGTTTATTTTTGTTGGCGGCGCCAACACCGTGTGTGTGTTTTTTTTAACGTGCCCATACCTACGATAGTACCTAATGATTTTGCGACCGGAAATAATATAAAATTACGTGCGTCTCGTACGATAAACTGCAGTCGTACATATGTGCAGTATAAATTATCAATAACGTTTTGTGTGTATAGTCCGGCGGACACGTGTTGTTATAACGACATTCAAAATCTATATTTTACCCGATAATGTCTCTGGAATATGAAAAGAGGCCTTTAAAAAATTCGGGTTTTCAATTGACACAATATCATACACAGCATGAATAAGTTATGATAAAAATTAAAAGCTGAACTGTTGTCAAATAAGTCGAAAACATTACTCTTTAGGTATTAGTTTTCTGAGACTTATCCGTCACTTATACGTGCGACACACGGTCTATGACAAAAAGCGATAGCAAAAGAGCTGCGATATTCGAAAGAAAGATTTTGAGGAGAATTTTTGATCCAGTGTACTAAACATTAGACTAAGGACGTTTGAAAGAAGGAAAAATAATTACCTGTACATGTTGTATTGAAAACCGAATACATCGTAATAATCATACAAATAAGAACCAAGAGATTGGAATGGTTTGGCCACCATCGAGAGGCGAAATTGATTAAATTATTAAAATAGATCATAACTGAAATCACGTGATAGAAAAGTCGTGCATGTGTATGGGATGGACAGAGGCTGTGGTAAAAGAAATCCCTACAGTGGACGTGGACATGAATCGTCGTTCAGCAGGATAATAAGGAAAGGATTGACAGCTCCGGTCCTACAGCGCTATTATACAGGAACCGTTTAGTTCGGGAAAGGACAAGAAGAATGTATAGTATCGGCTATAGTGGTTTTCGGTTTCAAATAATATTATTTTAGATATCGGTAGCGCAAATATCGGATATCGGAAAAATCATATCGGTTCACCACCACTGCTGTTACATGTTATAATGTATAAAACGATATGGCGCGTGTAAACGCTGCAGTGTGTATACCGAGTGGTGTTTGGTGAATATTAACCGTTCGAGTGCGTGGCCACCGAAGTCGTTTTCGTAATTATCGACCCTGTATAAAATATCTGTACATACTATATTGTTGCGTGTCGTATTTGTGTGCATGTGTGTGTGTGTGTTTGCGTGTGCGCGTAGTTTTTCTATCGCCCGCCATGTCGCGCGTCTTTTTTCATTTTTTTTTTTTTTTTATTATATTCTTTAAATCACCGGTAATTTATTTCGAGTCACGTCGAAAAAAATAAAAAATACCCAAAGAAGAAACCCGACTGGATTCTTTGCCGCGGCACATTAACACCTCTCGGCTCGGTGATCCGTTAACGATAATTCGTTCCGTCGGCCAGAGTCCCCATCATGATGCACACACGTTGTACCTCCGTGTTCGCCCGCGCGCGTCCCGTCCGGTTTGTTATTTTATATTTTTCGTTTTCATTATTTTTTTTTTTTTTTATTTTTTCGTTTCGGATTCAACGTCAATCAACCCGAAATCGTGTCCGAAAATCTCTGGGAGCCGACAAAAGACCGTCGTCTTGGTCGGCCTCGGACCCACGCCGACGAGGACCGACCGTCATCACCGCTGCCGCCGTCGCATAATAATATGATAATATTACACCGTCACTATATACCACTGTTCTGGTAGTCGTTTTTCCTCTGGGTCCATACTATAAATACACATCGTATAATATAGCCGCGAAACATTGATGTCGAACACACTGTTGCACATCAATGATCTCTCCGTAGAGTGGCGTGCGTGTTAAAAAAAATTAGCTCTAGTCGATAGTCGATTCTCGATAATTCGAAACTTTCGGTTATTCAAAGTCAATGATCGGTCCCTCGAACGTCTCGCAGTAATCCGATTAAAAACAACGCATTAAGGTACATTCGTTAATTCGAAGGAGAATTTCGAGCAAATTAACCATACTTCTTAAACCACAATTCTTTCATTAAATTTCAGATTCTGAGTGTAGCGATGGAGCTATTAGTTTTACAATGCTGTTTATTTTGTAAGTCATATTTTGTTGTTCAGTACCAATTTTTAAATAAAAGCATTAAAGTGGCAAAAAACATAGGGAAATGTACAATTTTACGATTTCGTTATTTTATAAAAACACGAACGACACAAAAACTGGCTCTTTTTTCACAAAAAAAATTACGGTACTTCAAATTATGTATTATTGAACTACTCTTGAAATCGTCTTTCGTCAAGCAATGGTTTATCGCTTGCAGATTAAATGAAATAACCTTATGTATCCCATCATCCCAATTTCTCACATACAACAGTGGCCTCTCCCATCTCTAGTATCAGCTCTTTTTAATTATTATTTGCTTAATCACGATCCATGGGCAGGATCGATCATAGTTCACATTTCCTCTCCATATTATATCAATCATCGCAGAACTAGGAATATACGAGTTCAAATAGATTCGTTCATGTTTAAAGTGTATGCACGAAAGGCCCATGAATTTCATATTTTGTTGGAATAAATTTTGATCGAGCTGAGTTCGTAATTTAATTAGATTGAACTTTAAGTGGGTCGTTGATTTTAATTTACATTCAAATTTGTACATAGAGAATTTAGGAAAATAATTTAAGCAATTTCGTTTAAAATACAGAGGTGACGGCTAATTCTATTGTGAGACGTCTTATAGAGATTATTTAAATAATATATTAGGTTGGTTAGGAAGGGTATACAGAGCATGCCCATATAAAAATATAATTGTTAATAAAATCACTGAGGCAACGTAGGTTCATAGAAATAAATAGTAAAATGAACTTCATTTAGAAACTATTAAACAAGTGAGTGTATAAAAAAAAAAAAACGTTTCTATGAAATTATTCATTTTTATGCTTATAAATCACGAGTTCATATTTTACGTAGTTTTATATAAACGTTTCAAGTTTTAAATTACCGTTTCTTCGTCTACTCTACGCGACATTATCTCTACAGTCACATTTTTGGCCTACCTTTTCTCTAATTCACATATAAACCATCGCCTTCAATAATATTTATATTCTAAGTGAAACGAGAATGATTTTATCAAGATACGTTTTTGAGTAGTTATCTGTGAACAACTTTTTTACCTAGTTCAAACCAAAACGTTTGTAGGGACTGTTTTGTGGAATATTTTTGGTCTAGTCGGTCTTTTTGTTAATTTTCCTTGTATTTTCCTCAACAAATGGGAAAAAATTGGCAATTTGATGTGTAATTTTGGTTGATTTCTGGGTTATCTTGGCAACAAGGGGATTAAAATTGCGATTAATTTAATACTCGTCTCAGTAAAACGTTTTTAGTTACCGATGGTTTATCGGTGCGCACAGGAAATTTATTACGTCATCCGTCTTTACAACTTTTCTCTTTGGTACACCCATCAGCAGCATACGGCCTTTACATTCGTTCCTAAATAATATCCGACCTGCGGATTGCGCATCGCCCGCGATGACACGTCCGTCCCGTAACGTTTTTTTTTGATAATTTATGCGGTTGCGGTTATATCGGTATTTATTTCGTCTCTCTCACTATACGGTGTACGTGGCCTCACAATAATTTCGTGGGACCGAATCGAAGTGAACAAATTGTTGAAATCGCCCCGCCGAGCGCCTGATGCACACATTATTATTAATACGTATTATACGATGCGTTATTCGGCGTTCGCGTATACTATACACTATTGTGTAATAATTATTATATTATACATACTGGAACGGTGGCGTACGCATCGCACGCGGACAATAGGGTCGCGATAGACAAAAAGACGTCGGATTCAAACGGTTTATTCGCTCTTTTTACCATCCAGTCTCGGTCGTTACACGCCTATCGCATTTTTACCGATAACTATAATACCTCTATAGTATACGACTATAGAGACGCCGCACGTCACATACTCGCTCGCATAGGTACTTTATAATATCCATTATAATAATAATATTATTAGCCCGTCGCGTCGTCGCCGGTTCGTATTCGTTTCTGCTGCCCATTGTGTCTGCGAGCCGTCTAACGCGTGCGTTATTATTATTTTTTTCGATTTTTTTTTTTATTATTATTATTATTATTTTTTTATTTCCATTCTCGGCGGCACCCGGTATAATTTACGACTCGGTTATAATATTATGTATAGCGCGCGGTAGCTGTAGGTACCTAGGCAGGCAGGTATGGATATCTATAATATGATGATAATGTGAAACGCAAGCGGTCGATTTGTTTTCGTTTCGCGCGGTGACGCGGTGATGTCGTACCCCGCCGCCGCGCCGTGAGCGTATTTACAGACCCTATACGAGTTCGGCCCGTGTACGGTATAAACCGGACTGATGGTTCTAAGGGGTTTTATGGCAGCTTCATCAACGATGTCGGTGTCCTGTAAGAGTACACCAAAAATCATTTGCTCGATGAAAAACCACGTCGTGTCGCGTTTTAATACATACCGCTCGGGCCGAAAAAAATTCTCAATAGTTGTTCAAACTTCAATCGAGAACTGTTCAGAAGAATCAAAAAACATATTGGTCGCAAAAGTCCTAGCAACAAAATTACCACATATTGAGATAAGACGTTTTCTCCAATGCGTTGAATTTTTTTATAGTATTTTTATCAGCACTTTCGCGGATTAATACATTTTTTTTGTTTTAGGTCAACATGATATTAATCGATTTGCGTTATCATTTACGTTAATTGTAAATATCGTAAATTCAAAATTCTTTTTTTGGTGTTAAAATTTTTTTATAGGAATTAGGTTGACGATATCGAACGAAAAAAAAAATTAATTTGAAAAAATACTCCCGAGATCGGTGAAAATATTATATTATGTATTTTAACGGCGGCGCCCATAAAAAAAAAAAAAAATCTCGACGACTGTTCTCGAAATATACGCACTTAAACGCATTACGCCGCGATCGTTAAACGACGACGTGTTTATAGGTGTTGACTAAATGAGCGTTGTAAATATTATAACATACGCCGTTTAAAATTTATACGAAAATCCTATAGATTCGACGACGTACGTTTTGCCTATATAATATAATAAAAAATGTCGTTAAAAAATATGCGTGTGCCCCCCCCCCCCCCCGAATAGACATAAATAGGACGTGCTCGGCTGAAATGTTTTTTTTTTTTTTCTAACCATCCAACGGAAGATTATTAAAATATTTCGTAAATATAGTTATACGTACCTAATAATAATAATATTGTGTATATATACGCGTTTAAACGATTTTTGAGTTTTTGCGCACGGTAATCTCCGCGGAAACTTGAAAATATGAAATATTATCCGCTCGCGGACGGCTTCGGAATACAAATTACGCGGTTATAAAATAATTTTTTTTCTGCTCGGCTGTATTCGAATAGGTATATATAAAAAAAAAAAAAACCAAAAAAAGACAGTATCGTCTGCCGTTGAGTGCAGTACCGTTGTTTTAGGAGGGAAATTCGAAAGAGAGGATGGTTAATTTCATCTGCACGCAAAAATAAACTATAGCTAACGAAAAACGATTCTGAGTGGAGTATTATTAGAATAGTAAGAACTATATAGTGATGTATTTTATAATGCGTTTTTCAAATTCCGGGGTAAGGTCTAAACTCCTAACTCTCCGCCTCCCCTGTATATGATACCGATTTCGTGGGCTTCCATGTTTTCTTTTCGAATTCATTCTCTATTCACGAATTTTTGTCAAAAATATTATCGAGGCATCGTTATATTTGTGTAAAACGATACTCATCTCAACTCTATTGTCACGCGTTATTGGTTGAGATGTTATGTTGCTACCATCATTTCGCGATTTACAAAGAAGGTATAACCATTACTGGCCTATAAAACACAGAACAAAACAGCTACGGATACGCTAATATGGTTTGATCAATATCGATAATACTATAATATTTTCCATTCTATCAAGTTTTGAGACACGTATTGTTGCAGATATAGATTTACCTTCTATCAATTAGATCGATACTATAAGTTCAAGACGAGATTTATGATAATGACGGTGTTTTGTTAAGAAGGCGTCAACCGAATTTCACTTTTTTTCCAGAATGCAAAAAACACTGTTATGTAAAAAGAAAAGCAAAACCGTTTTTAATAATGTTCATCATGAAAAACAATAAAATTACTCGTACACAAAGTATACATGCATTGGACATGATCTAAGCCCTTTTAACAAATCAGTGTTGGTTTAAATATATTTTAAAAGGGCGTCTGGATATGTTTTAGTCGACATCACCGACTTAATTTTCTATATTTAAATGCGCCCTATTACCACTTTACGCTCTTAATTGTTATCATTTTTCTTTCCTTTTTTTTTTTTTTTTTTTTATATACCAAAAACGTGTTTTTCGATTTCTAGTGGTACGTATACGCTCTTCTACGAAAACACCATCGATATTATCATAACATATCAGTCAATAACACGTGACGATATGTACGGTGTGTGTTGGGATACGTGTTAAGACGGATGTCAGCTTTATTACGGACGGGGATAAAAGTTATCGTAAATTCCAATTTGTTGCGCGGCCACGATTAAAACGGGAAAAAGAATCACCGCCCGAACTCGCTAATTCATTCATCGCGGGTCGCCGTCGCTGACGGACGGGACCGAAATGTGAAGGAACCTTGCAACCATCGCGCGTGTCAAATATCATAATATTTATATTATACACGTATTATATCGATCTTACAATACCGACGACGATGAGCCGGAACGGAGAGAATGTTTCCCCTCCCCCCCTCCCCTTCCCCGGTCAGTCGCGCGTAGAATATTTTTACAACCACAACATTATTGTGTTCGATGTGATATCCGATTGCGAAATTTCCGCCTGTCCATCCGTTCGCGCCGGTAAACTGGCCGAACAGCTGCTGTGGAGACACGTCCGAAACGTGACTAGATGTCCGGCCAACACATTATTTAATACGTAATTATAACGTACGTACGTTGTAAGTGACGTCAGAAATTAGCAGAGGATCCTACAGACGAATACTGTATTGACGGCCGATCTTGATATTTTAAACGTCCGACAGATTTAATCTAATAAAAAATAATATTATCCAATACAATAATGAACTCCGTACAATATACACAGAATCGAATTTCCCGCCTTCTATTTCAGCATACAAACTGTAGGGGCCAGAGTTGAAAGTTTAAATTCTCCTCGAAGGCACATTCTCGGTTTATTTAATTCGTTTATTTTAATAGATGATACGGACAGATTTTAAGTTCTAAGTATACGAAAAAAAAATTGTTACAGACTGACGGATTCGGCCTTTTATAAGGTATAATGAAATGGAAACGAGGTCAAACGATAAAATAATGACAAGATTTAATTAGTCCAATGATAACGCAACATCTACAATTCATCCGGATATGATTTTTTACAATCGTATTACTAACGCGCGAGACATAGCAAAATTTCACCGCGTCTAGAAAAGGCTAATTTAAGTATTCCGTGAACATTTCGGGTCTCTACGATTATTTTTAACCGAATCACAACAAAATCGAATGTAACGATACCGTCGATATCGCGTTAATCCCGTAAACTGAATTGCGCAATTTACGTTCTAAGCGTAAGAGATAAACGTGTATAATACGAGTGTGCGGAAGTCCAGACACATCACTGCAGACTTGCGGATCCGGCCTTTTACATAACAATATAAAATAATAGAGGCTGAGACGTATTTGAATATTATAACACAATATCTGATCGCCATTTTTTTTATCCATACGTCCGCGGCCCGTCGTCTCAAACTTTCATCCGACGCGGACGAGCGAGGACAGTTTTCTAACCTGGTTTCCGTCGAACGACATTTGAAAAAACAAATAACGAAAAAAATATCGGTTCAAATTATTATAGTTTTTAGAAATTCACACGCAGAACAGTATAGGTATCTACCACAAGCTCAGCTAGACCTAAATAATATTTTACCGTTGATAACTGATGACCGTGTTTTCCGACGTATTGCCGTTTTATTTTTAATGTGACCGGTTTTTGTAGATAGTTTTAAATTAAAGTTCATTAACGTGATAATGTATTGTGGCAATTGTATCACAACGTGAATGAAAGTTGTGCACATGTACCAATATTTCCGTTATTTTTTTTTTTTTTTAATTTGGTTTTGAAAAATGGAGACACCAACAGGACAAAAATTCGAAACAGAAAATGGTAAGCCATGTATTTTAGTTAGTGGGTATAAATATAGTGAATTTACAGTTCTGAAATACTGTGGTAGTAATATTCGGTATCGCTGTACAAACAAAAGTTGTTCTGTCGGCTTACTCGTTAACAGGGATGTGACCAAAGTGTCGAATATGTTAAACGAGCCCAAACACGACGTGACTCCAGAAAATATCGTAGCCACACAAATTGTGAGTTCTTGTATTAAAAAAGAATATACGAATATTTTAGCGCGCAATCGTGTTGTATTTTCTCAAATACAAAAGGGTATAAAGTGCGCAATCGTGTTGCGCCCCAATAACGCAACGTCCGGCGGCGCGGTCATCAAATCTACTAATGTTATTGAGATGAGATATGACGACCCCTAGTCTAAATACAGTGTGTTGTCAATCATCGACGCGTGTCGAGATTCGGGATAAACCGTTCGATATTGATACGGTGATAGATTAGAGATAGGTCGTTTTACGCGTAGTAATTCCTAGCTAATATAAATGTAATATAATCAATCTCGCGTCATGTGTAGACAGCGTGTGCGTGTCGGGCTCAGATAGCTAGCTGTGAGCAAGTGTGACTGCAATGTGCCGGCCGCCGGGTGACTCGAGCTATAATAATCTAGACGGCTAGGTAGAAATTGATTTGGCGGAAACAAAAATCAAGTTTTTTTGGCGGAAACGACCGACGCCCGTCCGGCGGAGGCGGAAGACGGTCGTCGGCGTACCGCGGGCGTTACGGGAACCGAGAGCAACCGAACAAAAAAAAACGCGCGCCGCGGGGACGGCGACGAACAGACTCACTCGGCAACGCACACGAGGTCCGGTCGCCGCCATTGACAAATACTCCGCACAAAGGTCGCCCGCGGCGTACGATATTTCGGAGCGATCGGAATGCCGCGGCATAACAGCAACAACAACAACAACAACAACAACAACATCAACAACAACAATAATAATACGAGAGTACGAACACGCCGGTCTCCGGGATTGTGTGCCGGACGGCCGTACACCACCCCCGTCATTACATTACGTTATCCGCGCGTGTTCGTAATACGCGGCCGACGGGCGCAATACAATAAATATCGTGTACCGCGTGTACCGCGTTCGGTACGTGTTTCGTGGCCCGCACGAGCACAATAACATTAATACGCATGTACGCGCACGTAAACGACAATGAGAAAGAATGCACGCCGCGGCCGAAACGCGTTTATAATATTATTATAAATACCCGCGGCGGTCGCGCCGACCCCGAGCGTCCGACCTCTTCGCCCGTCGCCGCCGCCGACACCTAAATAATATCGCCGCGATTAACACATTCCACCGCGGGTACAGAGGCGCGCACACGCGCGCGCGTAATATTTTTATTGCCGCGGTACACCGACACATTATCGCACGCCGTACGTACACGCGTACAACAATACGTAACGCGGTGTTACGACGAACGCCGCGCGGCGTCGGCGGGCCGCGTAGGAACGGATTCGCAGGGGCGTGGTGTCGTACGATACGTTCCCGATCGGGCCGGGAACAGCGGCGGCGGCGGCGGCGGCGAGTGGCCGCGCGAACATTGTGAAAACCGCGCGGGGCGGACGCGTGTCGACTGTCGGTACGCGCTGATCCGTGACGTTGCGCGGACGGGCGAGAGAACGAGCTGTTCGCAGTACGAATTCGTTTCGGGAAAACAGCGCGGGAAAGCCCACCGTCGCGTACTCCGGACTCGGGTACGGCGAACGGGAAACCGAACGCGCGTCTCCCGCGAAACCCCAGGCGAGAAGTACAAAGCGTATTCGAACGCGTGTTTTTTTTTTTAAAATCGGACGAGCGGTAAAAATCGCCCGCTATACGGTGCGTTTTAGCGCCTCGAGCTTTTGTCCGTCCGAAACGTCGCGTTCTTCCGTTCAAACGGCAACATACCGCGTATACTTGCCAATCGAACGCTGTAGACAACAGCGACGAATTGTCGACGTTGATATTGTAATTCGCTCGCGATTTCATCCCGACTAACGGCTGCGGGGGCGTCTACGTGTCGGCGTAGCGGATAAGCGCGAGTGCGAGTATGACGAGTCCGAACCGTCCGAGAAAATGCAGAACAGTTTTTCTAGCCGTGCGTAAATGTTGGACGACGCCAAAACAATCGGACGATACACTCTGGTTTTCCGCCAAAAACGTTTTGATTTATTTTTTTTTCTCCTCGGCCAATTATTGGTAGGGGACGATCGATTCCGCGTGCGCGCCTACCCCCCGAAAATACAGCGGGTGCGCGCCTGTCGGCCGATATTCTCGAATGTCGGAATATCGGGAACATCGCGACGTCGGCCGGTCCACTGTACACGCGCCACACCGGTGCCCGGTCGCCAAACGAAAATGCAACGACGCACGGTCCGCCGTTTTACAGGCGGCAAAAAAACGACGTGCGCGTAACGGTCGTTCGGCCGCGCGCCGTCCGGGGCGTGTAACTGCGGCAGTAAAACGCAGTCCGTTTCGGCTCGCCTACCCGCACGGACGGCCGCGGCGACGGGGTCATGACGCGCTCGTCGTGCGGGCGGCGGCGGCGGCTGCGGAGTGGGCATTGTGCGGCGCGTGACAAACGATTTCACGCCGCGGTCTCCGGGTGTGAGAGTGCGCACGTCGTAATCGCCGTGAACACGGTTTAATTGGATCGCCGCCGCCGCCGCCGCAGCCGCGCAGACGGGCATACACGTTAAATTATTGTATTATACGCACGGTGCGCGCGTCCGTGATGCTACACGCACACAGGTGGACAACACCGCCGGTATTATTATATATTATACAACAACAATAATAATAATAATAATAATAATAATAATAATAAATATATACATAATATACGACGCGCGGTAGGCGTTTACACCGCCGTCGTGCCGGTGGTCGTATCTCTCGCCTCGCACATCCGGTCGTTCGCCGCCGCCGCCGCCGCCGGTGGCCGCGAATGCGTCGCGCGGTGTTACGGGGGCGAAGGCGGCGGCGGCGGACAGCGGCGAACGATGCGCGCGGCCGATCGACCGTTTCCGGAATCGTTCGGACAAACTCCCGTACAGGCCGGGCGGACGGTATTTGATTCCGAGCGGACCGGGGGAAACGTATTGGTTTCACAACGATGTTCGGTTTTTCCCAATTTTTTCTGTTTTTTTCTTTAAACGATTTTTTTTCTACCGGAAATTTCGTTCCGGTTTTCAAGCGTAGCGCTTTTCCCGAAAGGAAATTTGACCGGGGCGGTACTTTAGGGGTGTTTTCATAATAAACGAGAAAAACCTGGGGAAAACGGGAAAATGTACGGGATGCATGTTCAAATCGTCAATGTTGCGGCCTTTTCAAAGCATGTACAACCAAACTCCGTTCAGAATCGTTTTTCGTTAGCAAAATTTCGTATAGATATACATTAAATTTTTCCTCTGTCTTCTCAAATCTCACCAATGACAGTGGCCCATCCAACGTGCGAAGCATGTCCGTTTGTTTTTTATAATATTGTAGATGGGTGCACGTTATATGTGCGTAAAATATTAATAGTATTATTCTGTGGTTTGGTGCAAGAATCGAGATCGATGTCAAATAAAAAAAAACTTATTACAATAATTATAGATTTTAGGTTAGTTCTTTTGGAATATATTAATTATTTTCAATTTTCAATTAGTTAAAAAAAAGAAAATGTATTTTTGACATATGCCACTCGTACGTCGAGTATATTATAATATAGATTATAACATTAATTTAATACATCTATAAATGTCATAAAATCCGATTTGTTTGAATATTATTTTTGATTTTTTAATGATCACGCCGATGAGATTTGTCCACAACAATCTACTGTCCGATACCCATTTATTGGGGGAAGGGGCGTACTGCCGTTTTTGTACGGACTATAACTTATTACCACAATAATATTTTCCTTGTGATGCTTGTGATTTTTTAATCCGTTAGAAACGTTTGGGAATTTCGCTGCGGTTAAAAAATTACTTGAAACTATTTTCGTTGTATTTTGGACCTAGCCGATGCCTAAAAAGTAATTTTTTGATTTCCTAAGCGGTTTTCATAATAATTGAGAAACGTCGGGAACAAAACGAAAAAGAAAAGCGGATTATTTCACCGCGTTAACTACGATTTCATTATTCTGAAGTTTTTCGATTTTCGTTTCCCCCCTTAAATCTCGCTCCAAATTTCAAGAGTAACATTTTCGAGCCAAAAAAAATTTAAACGTATGTGAAATTATCGTCCCCCCCCCCGATATTTGACCATACTAAATATTTATTCAGGGGCGCCGGAATGACACCGTCTACGCAAAGTTTCGGGTCAATACGTTCAGTACAGTGTCGGCGTGAAAGAGTAACAATACGGCCTTGGTCGTAATCTCTATCGATACAGGTGCCCTCCAATAACCGGCCATTATTTATTATTTTTTATTTTTTCCCTACGCGTTGTCTTAACACAAATAGTTTAATAAATACGAATTTTACTTCGTGATGACCGCTTATTGCGCCTCCCCAGCAATTTGTTCGCTTCTCCCCCCTCCCCTCCCGTTCGGGAAACACTGGTGTAATTTATAGGATAGGATCGCGCGAGCAAATATACAGTGGTGGTATTATTGTCGTCACGGAAGTCGTCGTCGTCGTCGTCGCATTCGCGGCGTTCGTGAGCAGCCGCCGCGGCGATTCGTATCGGACCGGGCGAACGCGCGCGCGCACTCGTCTTCAATAAATCGGCGGCGCGGTGGCGGCGGTGCCCGTCCCACGAAACATCCCATATTCGCGTGCAGTACGCCCCCGCGCCGGCCGGAATGTAAATCGGACCCGCGAAAAGGGTGGGACGACGCGATATTCGTTTCGGGGGACGGTCAACTCCTGCAAAAGTCGGTAATCCCCTACATTGACACGGTGCTGACCCCTATAAAATATAGTGTTGTCTGTAAGAGATAGGTTTTTTTTTTTTGTTTTTTAATATTAATATTATTTAATTTTAATATTATCTTGAACGGGAAAAAACAAACCAATAATGTCTTTACAGAAAAATAATTTCACGTCCTAAAAATTAAAAAATAACGTAAACTGCACGGTGTTTTCATTTCTTTCCCGACTCCCATACCCCTGATGTATAGCTCCGAGACGTCCGGTCTGTAAAAATACCGCGGCGAATGTCGTCGCCCGTTAAACTGTTCGCGGACGTCGCGCAGTCGTTAGTTAATTCCAGACAGGCTGGTAGACACATCGAAAAAGTTATTCGATTTAAAATAAAATATTATTTTGTGTAGACATTGACGTTTAAAATGTATAAACAATATGTCTTTTTCTTTTTAAAATATTGTATTTACCTATTGTTTATCAATATCGTCTATGAATGGTTAACGTTAAACCTCTAATCCCTTCTATCAATGGACCGACACAATTCTTGTGCGCTTATCGTGTATTACGCTATATTAAAAAGTACCGTACACGAACCACTTTTTGACGTGTTTTTGTATTTTGTGTACTTATGCATATTATCACCGTCGAATAATTTGATGAATATTTCGGCCGTTGTTTGCTAGGTTCTATACATATTAGGGGAAAAAATACATCCAAAATATCCGACATTAACTGGAGAATAACTCGACATTTTGCACAGAGATTTCTTATACAATGCAGGCTTATGCACTACTAATAATAAGAAAGAGTTTTTCGCGGTGCAACCCTTTCAGGGTAAAACGGGGTACGTCAAAGTCTGTGATCCGAAACTTCGTGTAAATAAATAATTTAACATGTATTTGATCGATTATGGAATTCGACTAAGTGGGGGGTCGAAAAGAGGTGTCGATCTCAGATTTCGGCATTTGTACAGGAGTGGAAACGTGAATGCTGTGTAATTGGGCAACTCTAGGGGAGCGTATAGGGTGTTCAATTTCGAGGGGAAATCATAATATGTTTTTAAAACGTCCGAACAAATTTTATCGGATTTACAATATTTGCAGTAAAGGATACAGCGGACACGATATAGTGCGACGGTGTCTGTAATTTAGGGGAGAATTCGAACAAAAAAAATAAAAAAAAAAAACCCGATAATAATATATTATATTGTTGTGTACACACGGTCGTCATTCGTTTGTGCGGCCCGCGATAAAATTAAACGACATCGCACACGCTTATTTATGTTCCGACTGTGCATACCATACATAATACACAAGTTTATACGCGCGCATAATATTATAATAATACGTCCGAACGGGGAAAAAAAAAAAAAAAAAAAAAAAAAATGTATAAGGGGTACCCGCCGTGCATTATACACGTATATACGTCCGCGCGGATAGGTGTGCGCGCGCGCGCGGACGAACGGACAGACGCTCTGTGTGAAAGAAGAGACCCGGCCGGCCGAGAGAATACCGATTTGTATCTGACCGGGAGGAATGTTCGCGGTGGATTTGAATAACGCGCGTACCCGTATGCCCGTACCTACGCGTGTTATTGCGGGTGCGCGAACGAAAAACACGGGCCGGCGACGGAAGACAAACGGCCGATTTCTCGCGTTACGGTTTATATTTTACGAAAATAATCGGGGGGGGGGGGAGGGAAATGTTCGTACATTGTGTACATTATGCGTTTATGCGCACCCCTGAAAGAATGGCGACGCAAATGAAAATATGAAAACGCCGGGAAATCGACTTTCGCAAAACGTTTCGCAATACCACTTCATAACGTACTCGCTGTAATTTTTCCCATCGTGTGAAACTGTAACTTTAGAGACGTTAGCGTGACTTTTCTCTGGCCAGAAAAAAATTATAGTGTATCAACATCGGTCATCGGGTCAGAAAATAAAGTCGCATATCGGAAGTGTCAATATTCAAGCCGGAGCCTGTAATTATTTATTTTAAGAAGACGTACAGGCATTTTTTTTTTTTCATTTTTGATGTAACCATTTCTTAAAATACAAGTACACGAGTATTCTGAAAACAATTTGGTTTATCCACCCTCTTTAAGCAAAGCTTGAGTTGAAGGTAGAGAGTTATGTTTGCTTAGAATCTGCACACTATAATATATATTTGCAATGATAGAAATGTGAATTCGTACAGTCTTTAATATTAAGTAAATGGAAAAATTCAAGTATACCGAATACTATAAAGGATGACATTGTACATAGTTTGATAGTAACAATTCGATAATCGTATTTTTTGAGTTTTGCCAATATTCTCTCAGGGGTATGATTTATAAGATAATGGATTTGAGAAATTTAGCCCGTATAGTTTTAAAACGCGGAGCAAGACGTACTAACAGTGGGCGTAAACTATTTTTGTAGATTATTTCCATAGGATTCTAATACACAAATCGTTAGATTCGTAAATAAATATTAAAATTTGTTATGTTTTGTTGTTATCATCAGAATAGTGAAATCGCGATTATACATTATCATAAGATTAATTTTACCGCAGAAAAATAAAAATGTGTTTTTTTTTTTTTATTTAACTATTATGCTATTTAGACTTAATGACAAATTTAAGTCGGTATTGTAATTTAAAATGTTTTGATGAGTTGATTTTAACAACGGCGGTCAACAAGGATTTAGTTGTAACTAGCCATCTCGTTTTATTAATAATTCGGCATATATGTATTTTGTGCTCAACCCCATGAAATTGAACAACTGTCATGGCCAGAGGCGTATTTAGAAATGAATAATGGGGAGGAGGGCACAAAAATACCCAAATAATTTATCATGAAAATAAATTAAAACAAAAAATAAATAATCGACAATGTAAAAATGTACACTTTCTTTAACAACAGGTACATGCTGTTTTTTATATTTATTTATGTTCAATTTTTTAAAATAATTTCGTTACACTGTACCTATTACTGTAATATGGTTAAACATTTTAAAAAATTATTTTATTATTTTTATTACCTATTACAATATTATATTTTCTTATCTCGAATAATATTACATTATTGTCAAAATGGCGACAGCGAAACGTTACATTTTGTCCCACAAGACATTTTGTTCCAACAAAGTTTTGTTACGAAAAAAAAAAAATGGTTTTCTTAATACTTTATCAGTTATACTCTTAGATCTTGACGATCGTGTATAAATTATAAAACTATACTCGTATATTACGTAAGGTTATATTCATCTGTAGTTATTATAAAAGTTATTAAAATATATAACTATATAGATACGGCCAATGAGGGGAGGGTGCAGGGCACCTTATGTCCCCTCTATAAATACGCCATTGGCTATGGCGCGCCAATTTGCAGATGAACACATGACTCGTAAAAATGTTTTATTTTAAAATATTAAATTTGTTTTTTAAGTATATTCAAATTAAACCAATATCCCACGCCATATAACTTGTAACATAACATATAATTTGCCCTAGTATAGGGGTAAAATTGATTATAAATTTTGTTTTTATAATTTTGTCTTATGTCATTTTTTCCTTTTATTTTCGGTTTAAGCGGTATACGTGTATGCATATTAAAAATCAACGTATTTTGTAAGTGTGTGACTGCGTATGTTTTCAAAATATTTTCATTTGTTCTTATTCAAAACCGTAAAAAAAATGACCTAAGCACTTCTTCGGCGGACCAAGCATCTCAAGTATCTGTATTTGTTATCCGTTTTATTAGTGATTATCAACGACAAAAAAAAATAAAAAATAGAAATAAGATTAGAAACGTAAACAAGGACAAAATATGATAATTTTATACGTAAATTATAATTTGTTATCATGCGTTTATACCTAATATGACTCACGGGCAAAATGCAGTATCTATATTATGCTTATAAGCGCAAAATAATGAATGTATTATTGCATTGTGAATAACAAAGTTGTATTTTCCTTATTATGCACTGCACTCTCGACGCACACAGCAATACAATAATAATATTATAATTTTTTTTTCCTTCCATAATATATTATCTATTTACATTTTATGTTTATTTTTTTACACTTACTCAAATTATTAAGTAATACAATGTCGTTAATACATTTTTTTTTATTTCCTATGGAGTTAGGTATCTATACGAGTATAAATAATATATTTATATTACTCGTTGCATGTGCGTCGGGTGGATATTGTATGCAATTTATCGACTTTCGTTTTTTTTTCGTCCAACCTCGAATGAACCAGAATCGTTTATAATGTTTTAATATCATAATAATATATGCTCATATAATACATTGTGTTTACTATTTACGTTTGATCTTCATATTGTATTGCGGTGTAATCAAGTTGAAACACGATTCGTAAATAATAATATATAATCGGATAATAATATTTTAAACGAAGAGATTACAATTTACAATTGTTCGACACACGCACTGGTGTACACAATGGAAATAATATTTTTAATAATAATATTATAAAGTTACGAACGCGCGAAAGTATTATTTTACTATAATATATATTATATTATGCGGTTAAAAAAAAAAAAGAAAAGAAAAAAAACGCAACAAACGTGATATACGAAAACAATATAATGACGCGTGTTAAACGCACAATTTGCAGTTATTTGTTTTCTGAGAAAAATTATTTACTTGAAAAAAAAAACCCCCAACAATTATTATGAAAATGTTATAAAAAAATATTATAATAATGCGGCGTCGAATTTCTGCGGTATAACATTGTTATAGTTTCGATACAGATATTTTTTGCCGATAAGACGACTGCATAAAATATAAAAAATCCTTAAGACCCCGATCGGAGGCAGGTGTTTTTTTCTGTATCGTTTATTCCTAATATGCAAAAGTATGGGAATCAGCAAGTTTTGATTCGAGGGAAGGCCAAGGGTATACAAACGTATTGTATACGATTTGGTCTATTTCAGGTGTATAATGGCTGCCCAAACTTGAGATTTACTCTTAGAGCCGGTTATACCTAGTTGTTTTAGATAAATATACGTATATAATATGCTGATATACATTTGGTCCTAGGAAAAAAAATGCTTAAGTAAATTTTTGCCTTTTTTTAAAAATATATTTTTCTTATGTAATTTGTTTTGTTTTATAAATAGTATATGATTGTGTACATTATTAATAAGCCATTCCGGGCCATTTAGAACAGTCATTTAGGTTAGGCCATTTAGCAATTTGGCAATTCAGCAGTTAATATGCCATTATATCATTTAGTGATTTTTAAAATTTAACTTGTTTGTATTGATAGCCGTCCAAAATTAAATTAAGTACTTCTTCCGCAGAACCAATAGGATATATCTTTGGATGAAACGCACAAGAAAAAACGAATAACGAGTACGCCGAACGTCGTAGCACTTACGGTCTTCGGTTAAAAATATGGCAAATAGTACTATTATGTTGTATTATTATTATAATTATTTGTATTGAAGTCTCCGCCGAGTGGCGCCACATAATTTTGGCTTGTTGCCCGGTTCAACGGGCACTCTCTTTTCACATATTATTATACGAATGAAGGTTATTGCGTCTACTTAATCGCGAACAGAGAAAAAAAATAATTTTAGAACTGCGTTGATATCCGTCATGCAGTGGAAAACTGCAGCCACTCGCAGGGCTCGTAAGTTTATACGGTAAAAAAAGAAACTTGCTCTTCCAATGTTGCCTTCTATATTATTAACTTTTAATAATCGGCTTCAATAATCTATCACGATTTATCACATTATACCGTTTATTTTTCATAATTTGTCAAATTATTGTCTATTCCCCTGAAAAATCGTTTCACTTGTCAAACCCTGTCGTACCGTAAAGTCTTGAGCATCTTACGGTAATACCTCATGTTAAATGCTTCTTGCTTCGCCTTCTTGATTGTACTCGCTGTTCAGTTTCTACACCTGTATAATGCACACTCCCTACGTATTTGACGTATTTAGATCTTCAAATGTCCTTTAAATAATAAATTATACAAATATGCCCATAAATAGTACTATGCCAAACCACACGAAATGTGCTGCAATTACATGAAAAATAAAATTGCATTAAAGCTTTTAAGCTTAAAGCATTTCTAGCTTCTAGAATATATTATATAAGTATATATTATACATACTGTAAAAGTATAGTGAATTCTATAAGGGTCTTGCTCGCGGTTTGTTATAAATTATAACATTTAGAATTAAAAAGGTCTTAACAATTTTTAGAAAAAAATTCAATCTGTTCTAATGTTTGTATGAAAAGGGCCCGCGCATGCTTTTGCTCCAAACATGTTAAACCTTGTTAACTCTCCTGTCTCGTAGAAAAACGTCTGATTTATTGTTATTAATATTATTATTTATTTTTGAAAAAATTATAACTTCCTACAAACCGCGTTAACGTCATATTTTTCAATATGCCTGACCTAATACATAACCTCGTACACATTATAACCAAACACCACTAAAAAAAATTAAAAATTAATTAATAAAAAAATTTTAAAAAATGGTAAAAATTGGTTATTCTATTAAGTTCGGAAATAAAATGTTCAATATCCAAGTACAATTCATACTGTAAAAGGTGAAGACAAAATAAAAAATAATAATAATAATCGAAATCAGACCACTCTACGGCGCAGGACTTTTAACCATGCTTTTTGACAAAAAGGACAAAATAATAAGTCGCGCGCAGTGTCAGTTAAACTAAATTATTATCTTTTCACTACTCACTTAACGATTATAATATACGACTCCTGAAATTATATTATACTCACGATGTATACGTATGACCGTATACCTAGAATACTCATATATATATCATAAATTATAATCACTGCAGTCCGTGTGCACCGCGGGACGGAATCTCTGGTGCGTTAATACACACATAATAATAACAGTTGATCGTATTATTTGTGTTATTAACACTTCCGGCAATGTGTCCGTGCGGTTATTATTATTATTTTTTTTTTAAATGTCACCGTACAGTTAATATAATAATAATTTATTCTCGAGCCAAACGCTTGTATTATTATTTATTACTATTATACCTAACCATAACATCATTACCGCAACACAATAATATAGCAGGGAGAACTATTCTGTCACGGCTACAGGAGCTTCCCAAACTAGAATAGTTGTAGAATTATATACAGGGTATCATCGTCTCCCATCATACGAACTATAGGCGGTGAACGTTAATTTAGAACAAGACTATCAAATAGAAATTTATTGAGAAGGGGTATCCGCAGATGACGAAATATAATATTGTGTAGGCGTGGACGTAATCTGTAGTGATATCGGGCACTTCACATAATTGCGGACCGCAAGGACCTAATGTACAGACGATGCAACGAGGCGGAGAAAAGGGACCGTCGAATTTTGGTGCTAAAATTGGAAATTTAAGTATACCACATCGGTTTGAACTGTGTGACTTAAAACATCACACAATTTATTTCGATTTTATAGATTACAAGCCGATCCGGCAATGCTTTTTTTATTATTGCCAGATAATCATGTAATATTAATAATTGTTTTCTTGTCCGTGACAACCAAATTGTTATCCATGTTACCGAGGTAATTCACAAATAAACAAAAATAAATAAATAAGCAATTAGATATTCGTACCGAAAATACTAAGACCCTAATTTACCCCCTTAAGGGTTGAATTTTCAAAAATCCATTATAAGCGGATTTTTACGTCATAATAGTTATCTGTATGTACGTATACGTGCATGTAACACAACAGTGTACACACAGATATAGTTAGTTAGTTACATATATAAGGTCGGGTTAATATATTAATCTAAACTTATAACCAGTTAATCGAATTCCGGTCATAATCGTCGTCTTACACATTGGGTTAACAATTTGAACAATTTAACCTTTTGAGGTACAATGTAATATGGGTACTAAACGAGGTACTAAATTACTCCAAATCCTTATCATCCGTACTGCTCGTTTCCGCTCTACACGCATGGCACGTATATAATATATAATAAAACTAATATAAACTTCACAGTCGTCTGCGACAGTACCGTTATCGGTTATAACATACAAATAAAAATTATAAACAAAAAAACAATAATGATACTGTTCAATAACAACATTATGGGCGAACGTATTTCTCGCGAGGATTGATTACATATATAAAAAAAAAAATTAAAAACACTGCGAAAGAGAGTGTTCTGTTGTTTGTTGTGTACGGTTTTTTTTTTTATCTTCATTTCTCTGCGCCACGGATCCCGCAGAAAAAAAAAAAATTCACGTCATCACACGTCGCTGCTGTTGCCGCAGCGGCAGCACGGCACGACAGACGATTCGTTTAAAACGTCTAGGTACGTTATACTCGTATACATTATTATATTACCGGACATGAATTTATGAGATTTTTTCCGTTTCGTTATTATTTTTAAATAAAAAAAAATGTTAAATATTATTATTATTATTATTATTAAGGAACGGTATGCGCGACCGGCGAACGTACATATATAGTCGTATGGGTAAAACGCGCGGGCGCCCACGCGTTCTCGTATAATAATAATAATAATAATAATAATGATAAAAATAAAAAAAAAATCACGCGTGCGTTTGTTGTGCGCTGTAGCACACCGGGAACATGAATGGAAACGACCCCGAGGCTCCGTGGGAAGTCATGAATGGAATAACATCGCGCGCGCTGCGGAGAGAAATACTTTTTACAATATTATATACGTATATATTATATATAATATTTCATTATTATTATTATTATTTTTTAAATATTTTTTTCGAACCCTCTCGTACCTACCGCTCGCACGATGTTTAATTCGAATTTTATCGCCGCCGGAAAACTCGTCTGGCCGACGCGTCGCCTTTTATATTACGTATATAATCGTAACATCCCGTGGATTTTTACCTGAGACAAAATAATACATAATAATATCGCAGTAGACTCTAGATAATCCGAAAACTCCATAAATCGAACTGAACTTTGGATCCCACGAGAAAATCTCAACAATTCGAATTAAAAACTACACGTATTTATCGACACCCCAGAATCCAGAAAATTCGAATAAAGTGCGAGACGGCGGGAGACTATAACTGGAAGCGAATTAGCCCGTTGTCCTACTGCTCTACGGCTCGTGTATAAATTAAGTTTATTTTATTTTTATAGTATTTAAAAAAAAAAAATGTTTAGCAATACAAAATGGTTATCTCCCTCCATGCCAACATAATTTTAAAAACGTTAGCAGTTGATAGATTATAAATATGATAAGATATCAAGATGATATCGGTTACACCGTCCAATAAGACTTCTAAGTTTAAAATATTAATTTTTGGGTGCCTATTATTTTTCAAAAAAAAAAAAAAATTATAATAATAATAAAAATTATGAGTTTTTATGGTTATCGGACAAATATTAGTATTATCCCATTATTTTAGTATAATATTAAAGTATACCGGAATTTTTTCTATTTTTTATTTTTTTCACTTTTATATTATAGACGTCGTGCCAAACGAGACTATGTTGTACTATACTTATACTTATATGGGTTGTGTAACGACGGAACGATATTGCAGTAAACGCCTGCGATGCTGTGGCGGCAGCGCAGTATAATTGGTCCGAAAAAAAATAAACGTGACTGCTTATTATTATTATTAGGTAACGATTTCATGTAAAAAGTATGCGATAATTATTTTTCTCGTGTACCTACTGATATATGATATACACACAGTACGTATTTAGATATTCCGCAATACGAATCTGAATAGATTTTAAGTATTTATACGTACATAATATTTTGGCACGTTATCAAAAAACAATATTATCAGTCGGGATAATGTGCAGCGACACGGAGACTCGATATAATAATATTCATTATTTATAATTGATCGTACCAAATATTGTAGCAATTTATAAGGTTAGGCGATGGAACATTTTAATGCAAATCCGTAAGTACCTGCGTATTATTGTTGTTTGCACATATCGCACTGACAAACAAATTAATAAAATGGCTGATACTGCTGATGGGTGTGCCATTCTTTATGGAAGGATATCGGAAGGAACAACGTTTAAAGTTTTTTAATTTATATCTGTACACAGTAAAATAATTTTTAACAAACACCTATTCTGATTAAAGTGTTAATCGTATTTTTTCCCTTGATGCTAAAGTAACCCAGAAAAACAAATAATAAATAAAACTTTTTTTTTTGGGATTCGAAAACTAAGAAAAATCAAAAAATGACCTCTAACTAGATAAAATTTCTATAAGAAAGTTCCTGTAAAGTTTTTGACCGGAGTATTTCAATATTTATAGTAAAAGTTGTTTACACACACACACAAACCATATCATAGTGAAATAAAAATATTTCTCGCTTCACTCAAAAAAACTAAAATCTACCTACTTAAGAAAAAATAAAATATTTTCTTGTTTGTATAAATATAATACCAAAATTATAAAATGGCCTAACCTGTCCATAAAAATCAATACATTTTACAATTCTTGTGAAGCATAATATTTTATTTAAACTGATTTATATTTATTGATTATACGTATACAATCAATTACTTATATTTTTTTTCTAGGATATATTATGGTAAAAAAAAAAACTGATTCTTTTCCCGTTTTTCTCGGTGAACATCATAATAGAAACGCGAAAAACGAATAATCAAATCGACAATAATAAATGCTGTGGTAGCGGCCGGGTACGTCAGCGTTATTTTTGAAAAAAAAAGCACGTTTAAATAAAAAAAAAAAAAATGAATGGTTCCTGCGTAATATTTTGTCATTAGGACCTCCGGCACACCGGAAATTATTGTTAATACACACACACATATACACACACACACATACACACATATAGCCGTTAAAAATCTGACGGTTTGTCAATTAGGATTCACACGTCAATATCAATCAGTCGGCCGGATGGGGTGCACACACATATGGTCGGTTATTAAGCGACGTGCCAGCAACGATTATTGGCCAATCTCTATTATTAAACCGCCGTCCGATGAACACTTTAGCTGTTGCTGCAGGCCGGGTGACGCGCTATATGGACCCGAAAAAAAAATAGAATAGAATAGAATATATATAAACCGAAAGTAAGAACGCTGTCAGGATCTAATAAAAATATAATTCATCTGTCGGAAATATTTATTGAAAATTCGGTTTTTAGTTTTCGAGCGAAGCGAGGAAGGTATATAGGTTTTATTATGATGACCCTTTTTTTTTTGTTTCCAAACAAATTTTCTATAACAAATCTCGGTTAGATCAACAACTTTTTAGGAGCTTTATTGTAGCATATTAGATCTAGTTTTGACTTCACTAGTAATTTTCTTAATAAATGGGAAAAAACTATCAATTTATTGTATAATGCTTATTGATTTTCGGTAATTTTTGCTATCAAGCGAAAAAATACGACAAATCACTCAGAATCGTTTTCCATTAGCGATAGTTTATCGTCGCGTATGGGTTATAAGGTGAATCACTCTACACATCTTCTCTTCTAATTTCTCCCATAAAACAGTGGCACACCAATCCACATCATCGGTACCAGCCGCTTTTTATCGTATATAATAATATGTAATTGAATGCAAATCGATCATTCTCGAGCCCCCAGGACGCTCAGAGATGTACCTATAACTCTAACACGATATAATATTATATACGATGATTTGCTCCTCTATAGGTGCCAACGGGAGGCGCATACAATAATAACGATAATAATAATTTTAAAATCACGTCCGCCATGGGTGATTTATGAGTTTTTACGGCGCTCTTTGGAAATTGGTTTGCCGGGTATACTGCAGGCTGTACCATCATGCTATAGCATCATTAACAACTATCGCCTCTCGTGTATAAAACGAAACACGTAAATCAGAAAACAGTTGTACTTGCTAGACGATTCTGGCGGTAATATAATAATAAACATTTATAGGAATTTTCTCGGGTTATTTTTATCTAATTTCTACAACGGGGAGGTCATTTTTGATTTTTCATGTAATGTTCTTAATAAATAAGAAAAATCTGGCAAATTTTTGTATAATTTTTGTTTATTTCCGTGTCTCCTAAGTAATAAGAGGAAAAAAAATAAAAATACGACTAAAATACTTTCATCAAAATCGTTTTTCGCAGAGCATAATATCGTTTATTGATAATTAGAATTGTATATATTTTAGTTTTCAATCTCTTATGAAAAAAGAAAATTCAAGTGCTCTTAACGTTTGATGTTGGGATTACCCGCTTTACCCGAGTTATTGAAAATTATGTTAACATCGTTGGTCAAAAGCTGGTGCTCTAGAAATTAAACATCAATTAGGAGTATTGATTTTTGTATTTAATTGAATTTCGAACCCTATGGTAAATTAAGGTCCAGAGTGGCAACTGAAAATAAATTATTCATTTTCAATTTTATGACTAGTTGACGTTTGTTAACGTTGAATACTCGTGATAAATCATTTAGTTAGTACCGTCACCTGTCTTGGGTGGATGGGTCCCATGAATCGGTAAAAATATTTTGGCTTCATAATGATAATAATTTTAAGAATCCTGCGCCACTGTTTCAGAGTCCTGCGTGTGATTCGGCTGTGGATCGCGCACAGGCAAACAGGCGAACTTTCCATTTTATCATCATATAGATAGGCATAATAATAAAATGTATAATATACAATATCGTTATTATTTGACAGGTAAAACTGATTAGAAACACAAAGTTACATATTATGTCATTGTTTCGTTTATATACGTGAGATTATAATTATTTTTTTAAAAATATTCCTGTTCAATGCTCTACAATAGTGGTTAATAGTTACGATAATTTATTAAAATTCGATCTGCGGCGGAATAACACAACGTTTTTACAAATTTATAATAATTATTAGTTTTTACACCTGCCTACTTCGATCCATAATATTCAGGTGTTCAGATATTCAGAGTACCCGCAATATAATATATAATATTGTATACTTAACGTGTCGCCGAGAAACGAACAAACGACTCGATTGAGATAAAGTATATAGCGTATCGATAATACATTGTGTTCTACCGCCAATCTAATTGTATGTATCTCTATATGACTCCTATACATTCCAAACAGACCAAAGCGCAGCCAAAAATATTTCACGAACGTCTAATCCTGCGATGTCCCTAACGCCGTCCCAACGCTTTAATATTTGAACTCTTCTCGCGCACAACGCGCGGCGATCCCTGTTGCAATAAAACGAAACAAAGTTGCGAATGATAAAAGCATCGCTCTCGTAAACTCCCCATTTACCGGGAAAACTCCTGAGAAAATGAAAAAAAAAAAAAAAAAAATAAATGAAGTATTCCCTTTCAGAGAACGCGCTACACTCCACACTCCGGAGCAAACAGAATCTAAAACCGAAACCACATAGATTAATACCGTTTAAGAAAACCAATACATTTTTTTTTAACGCCATTGTTACACACGCGCGCGCGCGCGCGCGAATACGCGATTTTATAACGTACCTCCGAATTATCAATAAACGATCCCCTCTACGGCATAACAACAGTAACAATAGTGATAATAATAATAATAATAATAACAATAACAATAGTAATACAATCGCATGCGCGGTACGAGCACAGAGACTTGTGGGCCCGTTTTATTTGTGCGCGATATTATTTCGCGCTCCTGTTATTCCCACGCCAATCGCGTACGCGATCCGAGTGAACCTTGCGTAGTGCGCGTCTCGCATCCCCTGTGGACACGATAATATTATATTTCGGGGTGACATACGCGCACGGTTTACCGCCGTGTACCGTACAATACAAAATACACGTACTATCGGTATACCTACGTATATGCGCATGTGTACGTGTATGCATGTGTATAATGTGATACACAATTCCCGTTGACAGTTTTTACCCCCTCGTCGTCGTCGTCGTCGTTTCTACGGCGGCGTTTACGCACAGTAAAGAGGAGCCGTGCCGCACACCGCAGTTCGTCCGTGTTACCGAGCTGCTGCTGCTGCTGCTGCTGCTGCTGCTCTTTTTTTCTTTTCCCCTCGTCCCGCGAGAATTAAATATATAATAAAATAAAGCAAAGGTGAAAAGATAAAAAAAAAAAATAAAATAAATGACATACGCACGTTACGTTATAATATGTAATATCATTTATATTACAGGCAGGTTACAACAATAAAATGTGTATAGGAACATTAAAATACGTGACCGTGCCGCCTAGGCGTCGGATTATACCCGAAATTATACCTGACGGTCGCACCACGGCCGGGGAGACCGACAAATTGGTCTCCATTAAACTCGGTCACGTAATGGTGCAGTGTGCACGCTCGGAATTCCGTATCGTAACGTCGGATGTGGCCACTACCTATAGGTGTATCGGCGCTGTAACTGCACTGTGTATATTATATTATGCAGGTAACGCCGCCGGGGAATGTTATTATAATGATGCCTATGGTCCGAACTCCGGAGAATCGATTTTCGAATTTCGGACGGAAATATTGTACAATATCGTCCATTGGTAAAACGGTGTATTGTTATTGTTATTGTTTTAACCGTTCGCCCCCCCCGGCACTGTCGCAATTCTCTCCGTCACTGAAACAACGAAAAATCTATTGTCATCCGGCTTTTTACATTAACAATAATTTGTGTAAAAACACCCCGGCTCTTGTGCCGAACCATTCCGAGCGGTGGATATTCTTCCGAGCCGTTTTTCCGTTATATTTATAAGCCGAGACTGCCGCACACTATCTAATGTTATTTTGCTTTTGCTTATTGTTTTCGAAGTAGGTATATTTATGTATCTACTTTTTTGGCTTTGAATTCGTTTTATTTCCCGGCGGTTCGTAATCTGCGGCATAATATTATTGTAAACAATTTGCAATAAATATGCACGCGCGCAGTTTTGAATCGTTGCGTCGGAAACCATATATGCGTTTGCGGAATGCTAGTAAACACTAGTACCGATATAATATTATTATATACGTGCCCATTGTTGTACCGCAGTTCGTCGCAGTTAAAATCGTCTTCGGCTCGAATGTATTTCACGAACGACTTTCCCGACCCACCGCCTCCGAAGATCTAACGAGCCTGTTAAAATTAACAAAAACCGTAGCCATAAAATATAGTAGCCAGTACCGGTGTCAGTTTTAAGTACCTAGTTTGTGTCCGATACACTAATCGCACATTTAGTGGCTCATTCAGAATTTTACGAAGGAGGAAGACATTGAATTTTGAATTAGATATTGTATAATACGTACCTAGACTTAAAACAAAAAATTAAGATCCGATTTTAAATCTACATACTTATCGTAAGCGATTTATTATTCGATTTGTCAATAAACATTTCAATGTTATAGTAATTATTATTATTAATTAGTTTACATTTTATACTATTTTATTAATAAAGAGGAGAAGAATCTTCTTTATAGCAAAGTGGTTCGGAGAGGTGATCGCTTTTAACAAGGAAACGTACTTGCTGTTGCTAGAGTTTTTTTTTTTGGATTTATTTACACGGTTCTAACAAATTTTTGATTCTTTTGACAAAAAAGTAAAGAAATTCGAACATAAAAAATAGAGTAAATAAATATATAAGCGAAAAATGTAAATCCGCCATTGCGCACGTATTGAAAAAAGTTCTTTATGATAGGATTTTTAGTATATTTTTTCGTTTTTAATTTTGACTCGCGTAAATTTGTTCCCTTAATTTTTTGGTCTAAATTTTATATACGTGTACACACCTATGTATGTGTATACCTTAACTACACTGAACATTTTAATACGGTCATGACAGTGTCGTACGAAGATGCGTTTTAAAATATTTACCCTATCATAAGGTTACATGTTTATAAGTACCGGATTTGGTACAAGATAGATTGTGTGGTTGGTGTGTAACTTTATCATGTATTTATCCGATTACATAGTGTATAATATTATTAATATAAATCACGAATTATTTCTAATAAATACATAAATTACGATTAAAAAAAAAAAATGAATCCTGGTAAATGTATCAATAGAAGATTCGATTATTTATCTCTGTAGATAAATCAATTATCGTTTATTATCTGGGTACGGTAAAATACGCGAAAAAATATATATAAATATACATATCCATCTACATAAAACCCAGAGCACTGGTTCAAGGTAAACGGTCGTTGGAAAATGATTATTTCGGACCGATGACGTACAACGACGACGTCGTCACGCGCGCTCGCCGAACCGTTATTTATAAATGTATTGTTTTCGATGTACATAGGCGTTGTACACAGGCGTAATACGATTGAACCACACCGGTAACCGTTAAAATTTTAATCGACGCTCCAAGTCGGGGAACGGCGATTAGTTTCTAAGGGGTGGCGGGGGGGGGGAGGCCGGATAATTTGAAAATAAATTTTCGGGGGCAGTATATTTTTGGAGCGGGAAAAAATAGAAAAAGTTCAACCTATTTTCTGTTCGGCGTTCCGTGTTGTTTAACACCTCCGAAAAAATATCTATAAAAAATGTATTTACAAGTTTATAAACGCGTTTATTTTTCTATTAGAAACGCAATCATCGGACGATATTATTTAACCGTTTCGCGTAGAATACAATATGTTAGCGTACGGTTTTATGAAAAAGTACACACCGAATTTACCGGATATTATGTCACGAACGTGGATCACGTTTTCGGACATCGCGGGTCCCCGCACGGGCAAATAGCGAAAACGCGAAACCGGCGTGGAGTAAAATGAAATAATTTGACGGTCCGTTTATTTTCCTGTCCGCTAGCCGCCTGTTGCCTACCGCGGTTCTAAACGCTAAGCGCGCATCGTAACGCCGTCGGGTCGTGCGCGTTACGATCGGACGCGATTTCAATAATTTAAATAACGTGTTGGTCATACCTTTTTATCGTCGGTGGTTGCGACAATTTTTCACAGGGCACATGGTACGCGAACACACGCGAAAAAACGGAAACTGAATTCCGGAAAACCGGCACCGACGGGCGCGCGAAAACGATACGGCGCGTCCCCGCGCGTGCGGCACGCGAGCCGAAAGGTCCGAAACCGCCGTTCGAGTACGATCAATTAGAGTACGTTCAGCGTGCGCGAACACGCGGCTCGCGTCCTCGCGGCGGCGGTCGGATGACGCGGCGCGGACGGCGGTGTTCGTTTTACGGGTGGCGCGTAGCTGTCTGCCGGGCGAAACGTCTCCGCCGGGGTACCAGGGTGCGGAATCGCGCGATAAGCTCTCGGGGGGCTCTCGGCTCGGCGGTCGGCTCGCCGCGAAACGTTTCCGATCGGACTCTCTCGCGCGCGCGCGTGTGTATGTGTGCGCGTGGTGTGTGCGTGCGGTGTCGTAGTGCCGCGCGCGTACGTCGTCCGTAACCGTGTGTCCGCCCGGGGCCCGGTGTGTGCCGTAGCCTGGCGCCAGGCGCTCGGCCGCCGGCTCGTCCCCGGTCGGCACCGGTCGGCCGGCCCGTGTCCGCCCCCGCGCCGGCACGGCTCCGCCCCCATCCGCGGCGCGGGGTCTACCCGGCCGCCGCCGTCGCGCCGAACGTTTTTCTGGCAGGCGCCTCCGCCGACATTAATGACAAATATAATAATAATAATAATAATAATCGTACAACACCTACCCGCGTCCGCGTATACATATATAATAGTAATATACGTACACTGCATCGACGCGTTTCGAAAAAACTGAGAGAGACAGAGAGAGAGAGAGAGAGAGAGAGAGAGAGAAAGAGACAGAGAGAAACGCAGCGGTAGGAGACGGACTGGCAGAGATTCGAAGAGATTCGGAGATTCGGAGATTCGGAGAGAGAGAGAGAGAGAAAGAGAGAGCGAGTGTTCGGCCGGCGAGTGAAAAAAAGGAGACGAAAAAAACACGCGCCCGACACGTATGTACAGATATATTATTATGATAATCGTTATTATTACTGTTCGAAACGTTTAACGAGCGTTAAATCATTGCCACCAAAGCGAAAAAAAAAAATAAAATAAAACCACCGACGACAAAACGCGACGTCCGGACGACGACGACGACGAAAATCGGTGTTGAGATTTACCCGGACATGAAAATACGTGTATTGACATTTTTCTTCGCGCCTTTTATCTCGTGTGTAAACGGAATAATCCACGGCTGTAATTATCTTGTTATCTAGTAACGAACTAAAAAGATTCGGTGGGAGCGGTAGTTTTGGCGGATTTCTCTTCCGTTTTTGACGACGTCCGTTACGGAGATTTCCGCCACGTTCCCAATGTTGCCGCTCGGCGCATTTGCACTTCTTCCAGTTACACATTTGTTGGAACGATCGACGTGAAAGGGCGCGTTACTCTGTCAACCGCGGGCTCAGTCACGTCAAGATCCCCCCCCCCCTCCCCGAAAAAGAGTTTTCACAAAATCCTACAAAATAGATGTATTCGGGAGAGGACGCGGAATAAGCCAATTGTACCAGTCTTACTGTTCTACGGCGCTCCGTTGGCGCGCAATTCAAACAATCTCCGTGCTTTTTGAACGCGCCACGTATATTCTAACACGTGTTAAACATAAAATTAAAATATTTCTAAGTCACTACGGCGCAACATTTTGTTCGGCCAAAAACGGCAAAAGTCGTATACTTGGGCCGTTTAAAACGCTATTTAATCTAACCGTGTAGCAGTTGTACTGTTATGCCGCTTGGCAATTTTCAAAATTTAATTTGATTCGATTGCTAAGCACTACTACCGCCATACTTTTACTGTCCAAACGAAAACGATCCGTGCGTATAAGTCGCAGAACGAATAATATTAAGGTGTGAGACTTAAAAAAAAAAAAACGTTTAGACGAAATCGAAAATACCCGCGCCGTGCAGCCATACAAATGATGTCCCGCGATTCTTCCGCTATATCCGAATTTAAAAGCGGAGTATTTCGTCAACGAGTTGACCGTAAACAAAAATGTCGATATAAAAATGCATTTAAACTAAAACTTCATTGAATTATTGTATATCGGTTGACGTTTGAAAATTAAATGTACAAGTGGAGTGTCGTTTTACGCCCAAAAATAAGGACAGTGTATCATTTTAAAACAATTTATATTATTCAAAAAAGTGTTTACATACGTCGTTTATTAAACGAAAAAAAGTACTGCACGGACAATTCGATTGTAACACGAAATTTGATAAACGCTGTAGACGCGTGAATAATATATGAAGCGGATTTTATTATTATTATTATTATTATTTTTTTTTTTTTATGTGTATATAAATTACATCTTGAACAGAAATAATAATGTGTTTCTGCGGTAAGGCTTGTAATAAATGTTTTTAAAACGACGCGACGTGTATTAATCGTGAAAATGTCGTCTTGTAAACTCGACTGGTGCAACCAACCAACCATTAATATAATAATCATTCATAATATTATAGTTTTTGACGAAACGGTGAATAATATACCCACGTCCGCCCGCGTGTATAATTTAGGTGTACCTGCCTATTTGTAGGAAAAGCATGTTAATATTATTTTATAGTAAAAAGTCTTACGACACACTATTATTATGTTCACGTATGCATATGTAGGAACGTGCAGTAATGAAGTCTGGTTATTGACCACGTAATATCTGCAATAAAATCATATTTTAATTTTTTTTTTTTTTTTTACTCTTTATCCTGGTTGGACATTCTCCAAGAAAAAAAAAATTATTCTCATATACCTACATAGTGCGTATTATGTAATAAATATGTACACACACAATTACAATTTTAATTGTGCGTTTTATAGATGTATAGAATTTTTTATAATTTATGAAAAAAACTAATAATAATAAATAATTATTATTAGGTTTGAGAATGTATTGCATTCAAATTAATGTTGAATAATGATTGTTTATTTTTAGTAAGTTTGATATAAATTATATTTAAGTATAAATGTAAAAAAAAAAAAGTCGGGATCTCAACATATTATAATATTATAGCGACTTCCTAACGTTTAAATGCTAATCGAAGCGAGAAATGTGTTGGTTTTACAGTGATGTGCGATTTTTTTTATGTCTGTGCCATCAACAAATAGTCTACTAGAAATTTTACTTTATTCAAAAATAGAAAGAGGAGCTTTTTTTAGCGTTTTGGATCTAGTTGGTGAATTGCGAAAGTAATTTTTTAATATTTGTCTCGCAATTTTCATAATATTTTGGAAAAAACGTAAGGAAGAAACAGAAAGTTTACGATAGTGGGGTTTCTTAAGAGTGAGGGATAATATTTTTACCTGCGTTAGGTAAAAACTTGGTAAACTTATCGCGGCGATGTTGTTATTTATCAAATAATATTCACCAATTATTACGATAAAATATCAAATAGATTTACAATACCAGACCAATAGATTACATTAAAAATGATTAATTATAGAATGGGTAATTTTAAAACGTAGGAGAAAAGAAGGGAAGAGGAAGATCGAAAAGGATGAGATTTGATGCGATTGAGAATATTATGATGACGGCGGGTGGAGGAGATCGGGTCGAGCGGAAGTTTAGGACGTTAGTATGGATGAAATGGTATTGCAATCTGAAATTTTAGTTACGGACAATCATTATAATGGTAATTGATATACGAGTAAGTATCGATTTGAAAACGATAACGTCAAAAGCGTAATATATGAGCATATAGTTTCACTAACAAATATTATTGATAAATCCGTATTCCCTAATTTGTTTATGAATTTTTACTTGTCTCTTATTTTTCAGACGAACTCTGTGTCGTATAAAAGGACATCATATACAATGCGTCGAATAAATACATTTGTAAGACAATGTAGGCAAATCGACTTGGTAAACTATTCTGTGAAGCGATGATTGCTATAGAAAGCGATTTATCTAACGTCGTTTCAGATACGGGAAAAATATTAAATTAATATTCAGAAACAGAGCGTAGACTTAATCTGTAGCCTGTAACATAAATCGCTAACCAGTTTCCTTGTATATACAATTTAGTTTAATACAGTAATATTGTAGTATTCATACTTAGCTTACTATATACAAATATCAGATTTATTTATGACAGTTCTTCTATCACATTTTGAATTTGTACGTAAGAACGGGCAATAAAAAAAAAAAAAATGAAAGACAAAAGGTTTTCAGTTAATATGACACTGGAAAATGTCAGTAAAAGAGACTTTAACAACCCTAAATTTAAATACCTACAGTTACGCCCATAAGTACGAAATTTCGTCTACCTGGTTTCATTTAGGGAGTCTACACTCTACAGGGCTGTTGAGAGCTAAAAAAACACATTCATTCCACAATAACACGGTGGATTTTTTTTATTGAAATTCAATCCAACCTTTATTACATCAATTCAAATTTATACACAAAAAACTACGTTTTTCTATTTTAAACTCATTGAGTCCAGAAGGAGCTGTGTTCAAAAGTAGTGGGAAACAGTGCGATTATAACGGTTCACACGGTCGTCGTCATGCATCGATGTATATGATACGAGTATATTGATCATTTTCAAGTGGCTTTTACTCTAGACAATATATATTAATCAACAAACGTTTGGGACTCAAACACGAGGCCTCGGACCAGAGTAAACGGGGAAACGACTGGATATATTAGTTATTAGCCTATTATAGAGTAGTCTACACGGCGCATAGTAGGATTTTATGATACATTTTAGTTTTATAAAATACTATATTGGTGTCGATATGACGGCAATTATTTATATTGTAACATTTATCGATACAACTGTATAAATATACCAGTGTAGTTTATTGAGTATTATATCGGATAAAGATAATATAGATAATTACAATGAATATTATAAACATGTCCATTATACGGTATACGCTATACAAGAAATCTCAGACGCTACAGAGCGGGTGTATCAAATGCGGCGTTCTCATTAGTCCATTCATCAAATTTTCGTCTCAATCATAACTGCTATTGTGCAAGAGTTTATGTCCAGTTAATAAATGCCGTAGCGCAATGGCCAACGTCAGGCAAGAAAGATTTATGAGACCCGGTTCGTAACTGGAATGTCAACATAATTTTAGATACCGAGCGTGGCGAGTGAGCTATCGGTTTTACAGCGCTGTTTCTTTCTTTGTTGAAGTCTGTGGACACGTTTTTTACTAGTCCACTTGCTCCGACGTATAAGTGTAGCACCTTTTCTAAAGGTTCAAGTTGTTTAGATTGTACTTTAGAGAGGTCGTTTTGATTTTCGACGCCAACGAAATTGAAAAAAATCAGATTTAATCGAAAAAATCACACGAAACCTGTTATTGTTGCCTTTTCGATTTACTTTCTTAAGGTGTCATCATCAAAACTTTTAAGCTACTTTTGGGCTTTTAAGGAATTTAAATTTTTGAAAGTTTTTGCTGTAATTCGGCTATAAATATACGTAGAGACT